CGTTCACTCTTTTGTTTGAAGTGAGCCGGCTTTACATAGAATAGAAGCACGCTATCCTTTCACCAGTCTTCAAGGGAGGAGACCAAAGGTCAATGGAGTTACGGGCCGAAAAGCATGCCTCCCACACTATCGAAGGAACTGCAGGGCCTGTTTGCAGATGTTGCTTGAGGCTACCTAAACGGAAACGAAATGGCTCATCCCACCCAAATCCGCTTCAGAAGCGGGTGGTCATGTACCACTAACTTGATGACCGCTTAGGGCGACTGGACCAAAGAGATGGAAAACGAGCATTCAGTTCATGTTATCCTTCCAGAATTGGCCAAAGCTTTTGAAACAGTTCCACACCAAACCATGTTTGCTAAACTTGCAAAGTAGGTGACGGGCCACTCACAGCGTGGTTCATAGTATATCCAGAGAACAGAGAATATTATCCTAGGCTGCAATAGAACTGTTAGCTTCATCTTTCTCCAGTTAATACACGTAATGTTTAGATACAAACCAGGCTTTTTTATGGATGCGAAGACAATACCTCCATTTGTCTTCTGGGAAGTTCCATCATATGAACATGCAGCACATATGTCTTCTAGCGACAACGGTAGGGTTTGAGATCACCTTCCGTGAAGATGCATGTAATTTATACGTAAACCTATTCATGCCCGTAAGAGTGGTGTGTGCCTTTACGATCAGGAATAAATATTATTATGGAACAGAATCAGGTCAGTCTGGAGGGGGGCTAGAACAGTTTCTGAAGAAGCGATCCTTGAATCATTCTTGTTTTTACAACTCACGTACTACCTTTCTATTCGGATCTCCCTATCTATCCTTCTACAAGCCGACACCATCAAATTAAGGAGAACGTTAGGCAAAGAAGAGGCGATCATCCGCATTTGGAGTCCCAGTCGGCTGAGAATGGTTTTAGCTTTAACCAGGGGAAGTGCATGATATTGTATCCCTGGCCATCAGAAGCAACGAAAACCAGCTGCATCCCTCGACAGGTGCGCAGTTACCTGGACATCCACAGAGAACGACCTGGGACTGAACTCCGATGCATTAGATACCGGTGCCAACTATAAGGAAACGGCAGCAAGGATGATCGCTTTCACATACTTCCTGAGAGAGTATCTTGGAGCTATAACCCCCTTGGGTGTTCCTCTTGGCATTTGAAACCGACGTTAGACCACACCTGTAGGCTTTCAACGCTATAGCCTCTCCTCTACCAAGGGGAGGCGCAAGCACTCTTGAAGAGACGCAGAGAAGGACAACAAGGCGATTTGTCTGACCAGGGGGAAATATGCGCATTAAGTACAAGACAGTCTCCTAAACTTGGACTACAGGAGTTCGGGAGTTGTCCTGGTGTGAATTTTACAGTCGCGGAGGCTAATCACTAGCTATTCGTGCTTGTTACACACCCGAAAATACGGGACCAAGAAAGAATACAACAGCGCAGTCGGATGGAATGGTACGTTTGCGAGGTTGCACCAGGATACCGATGCGTCCCAGCCGACCGGCCAAAGGGTCGATTACGAGCAGTGCAACACAACACGAAGGTGTGCCAAATGGCGTTGATGTCTGGCGAGGTGCCTCCAGCTTAGCGGGTTCAACTAAACCATCAAGGTCAGCATCGATGTTGAATTTCGTCAAACCCCAGGCTATTGATTCCGGGGAAGTAATAATATTAATAATGATAAATTTCATACAACATAAGTTACATGAAAACAAACCAGTTCACAAGTCTGATCATTTTGGTAATACGAACTGACTGTCACGTACAATGTGAAGCTATACAATGGATACTGTTCTTTCCAGTACATAAAAGATGCGTCTAGATTAGGAACGCTATTGCTTTGCAGACAGCAAAGAATGAAACAGATAAGCACCAGCATAACTGTCCATCACACTGAGACAAGCTCAGTTCGAAAGTAGGAATTATTCGGCTATTGTTCGAATCTTCCAATATTCTTGAATGTAGGACGGGTAGTACAGCTGTGACCCTGAGCTTTATGCGTTCGTCATAAGGTCTAGATGGTATAGTGCACGCTGACAAATTGGACCACTAGGATTCCATATGGATGAAGGACTGGTTGGGTAAACCTGAAAAACGAATAACAAAAGCGAGCAGCAGATGAAATGCGAAAAAGGAGCACAGAAATACGCAGAAGTACATCGTGACGCCACGGGTCACCAAACCACCCCTGAAGAGTTGTTGGGGCTCAAGACAATGCCACGCGGAAGTAAAAACGCAGTGGCTTCTCCACTGGTAAAACTCTACCGATGGACTTGACGCGAGAAATGGCCCCAGGTAGTAGGAGCTTATACCAGGGTGTCGTGATAAATGAAAAACAAACTGCAATAAGTAGAATTGTGTGTCGATCACGATCCCGTGTCCTTTGAGGTTCCATCCGGTGCTTGTTGCACCTGGAATATAAAAAAATAAGTCTTTGAAACCACGAACACGTATCGCGAAAGCGGGAAACATTTACATATAAATGTATCGAAAATATATTTTGCGCTTATTTCCATTTTTGAAAAAGTTTCATTACATGGTAATAAAATAATTGATATAGAAAGGCAAATTGTAGGAAGATATTCGCATTCCCAGTAAACCCAAAAAATGATACCCCAAAAAAATTTTTTTCATTGAAATAATGGTTGCACATTCTATTTCACACTATTTAGCTGAATATGACTTTGGATACTCTGGGAACCTGACGGTTCAACCCGACCGTGTTTTTTGTTGCGCTGGTGGTTGTTGTATCTATGTATCACCAGGCACCCCGTCAAGAATTTCGAAAATTGGGCTATCCGCCGGTCGGCTATAGTGAGCTGAAACGTCACTTATGGTGGGGTTGCCTTCAGAATAAGCTGGTTTCAAACGGTCGATACCGACAGTGTCTCTACATCCATTTTGCCCGATGATATAGAACTTCTCACCCCACTCGACCACTTCGAGTGTTTCGTCGTAAGATGGTTCAAGTGGTCGACGATCAACATCGTGGCGAATGAACACGTGTGGTGTCTTTTGTAAAACGGGGTGAACGAAGACATCAGTTGTTCCAGGTCAGCGGGAGTAGGCCTAACTGAACTCACTGCGTTTGTAAGCCTAGTCAGGTACGATATCCTATCAAAGACATGTTTGAAAGCTGAAGGGAAAACAAACTCATGTGATAGGTGAAGAGCAGTCCAATAGACAAGCTAAGCACGACTTAACGTCTTCGTTCATTGCCGGCCAGCAGAAACGCTGTGCAGTAAGCCTGATGGTAGCTTGTACACCTGAGTAGGATAGTTTGTGCAACGTTTTGAAGACGTTGCGCCGAAATTTCCCCAGAATTGTTGGGCCTAGTTGACTAGAAGAGACATTGCATAAAATTGTATCCTTGACTGATCCTAATAGACACAGATGTGGGTTTAGAGTTGTGGAGGACAACTCATGGTGCAGCTGATGGTCTTCTTTTTTACACCGAGTTGGTTCAACGCGATCAACGCTTTCGATACGCTTTATCGAAGCCATTCGAGGTAGCGCATCGGCTACGGAGTTATTTGCTCCAGATATGTGGCGGGTGTCTAACGTGAACTGGGAAATGTAATCCAGTTGTCACGACCCATGAGGGGAGTGCTTGTCAGACACCAAGCTGAGAGAGAAGGTTAACGGTTTGTTCTCTATGAAAATAATGAACTCACGACCTTCAGCCGAATGCCGAAAATGATGTACAGAGGAGTATACAGCTAGAAGTTCCCCACCAAATGTACCTTATCTTGTTTCCGCTTCTAGCAACCGCCTCGAGATGAAGGCTAGAGGTTGTCGCTGGTTGTCAGTCAACCACTGTAAAACTGCTCCAATTGCTGAGTCGGATGCATCAACAGCGATACTCAGAGGAGCTTTGGGGTCGTGATGTATGCGCATAGTTGGGCCTGAAATGGCTTCCTCGACTTCAGAAAAAGCAAGTCTAGCCACGTTGTCCAGAGTTACTCACTCCGTAGCCCCTCGAAGTAAATTTGTGAGTGGTCTCATAATGGAGGCACGGCTAGGGATAAACCTTCGGTGTTGACTTACCAGGCCACTGAAAGTGCGGAGCTGCCTCACAATGGTCGGCTCTGGATAGTTCATGATAGCGACCACTGTAACTGTCAAAGGGCGTATCCCTTTATTGTCAGTGGTACGGCCAAAGAAGTTGAATGATTTAACTCCTATTTTACACTTCCGCAAGTTGACCGTGATGCCATGTTTTTTCAGTCTACCGAATACAATGTTCACGACGAGTTTCCTTATCTGGACTCACGAGGAAAAGAGGCGACCTAATAACAACTTACAAGATCAACGATCGGGTAGACCACTCCGACAGAACAACATTATCAGCTCAAAACTGACAGTCTTACGGGCAACCTACCTTCATACCCCATCAGAGGACGAAGACGGGAGTAATATCTAGCTCTCTTCCTCACACTGTGTGCCCTTAGGAATGTTCCGTCGAAAGAAATGGCCAGTCTCATCAGCTGACACCTTCGAACGACTAAAATATAAGTATATGGGCCTCAATGACTTCACATAAACATTCGTCAGTAGCAACTGAAGGTGTGTTGATCCAACCCTGTGTTGCTCAACCGTAGCATCAGCGATAAGAGCTGCCCCTTCTCCATATTATCATTAGTAACATTTTCCAGATCTACCTTTCAGCTCTCATTCCTCATTCCCTACTCACACTGCCTTCAGACAACGCTACATACTTACCGGAAGGTGCCAACAAAGACGGGAATCATGAAAAGGTGATTGGTTTCATAAGGGGCTCTATTATTCCCTCAAAACAAGCCAGAGAGATAGTTCGCAAAATGAAAATTTAAATAGACAATCACTACCTCCAAAGATATGGGCAGTTAAACTGTAAGGACTTCTGGGACCACCGAAGGAGTACAGACAAACAGAAAAAAATCGGGCTGTCAAGACACGGAAGCGAGAGTTAGAAAAATACAAGATTCTTCTACTCGCGTTGTTGATAATAGGTGTTGGACTGTTTAAAATTAGCTGAATCGAATGCACCAGAGGTCGCTGATGACTTATGCTTATTCATTAACATCGAAAATAGGTGAGAAGAAATCACTTGGTTTTCAAAATCTCAGAAAAAACAAAACAATTTTGAAGTTATATTAGCGGGCTGTCCAAGTTCAGCGTTACATCAAAATATATGTTCCAGTATGTATATAAAGAAAGTCATTATTCAGGGCTTTCGTAGTTACAGGGATCAGACCTGCCCAGAAGAATTCAGCCCACACCATAACATAATAGGTATGTTCCATTAGGCAGACTTATAATAGATAGTTGGACGTAATGGTTCGGGGAAATCTAATTTCTTCCAGGCAATACAGTTCGTTCTCTCTGATGAATTCAGTCACTTAGGAAACCAAGAGCGTCAAAATCTGCTTCATGAAGGCACAGGTCCACGAGTCATTTCAGCTTACGTAGAAATGATTTTTGACAACTCAGACAATAGGATTCCTGTAAGTCGCTAATTCATATCTCTATGCATATAGTTTGATAAAAATGAAGTTTCGTTGCGTAGAATTATCGGAAGCAAGAAGGACCAGTATTTTCTGGACAAGAAAATGGTCACGTATGTTGAATAAAGCAAATTTACTCTTTGTTCAGAAAGGCTGACGTAATGAATATGCTGGAGAGCGCTGGGTTTTCTCGCAGTAACCCTTACTACATCGTTAAACAGGGAAAAGTCAGTGGATTATTTCATTTTTGTCGCTTCTTGTTTTCTTTGACTACACCGCTCTTCATATTTTGTCTTCATTTAGCGCTCAATTTCTTACTGACGCCTAATTGCAGCTCCAAAAGGCAGTCAGATTTTAGGTTTGGACGAGTTTGCATCAGTTACATGTTCTTATTCCAACAGATTTCGAAGTATGAGCATGCTTGACAACTTGAGCAATTGCACTTATTTGCAAGGTCCTACGTTGATTTTGTATATCTGACGCCTTTCAAATGTAAGATGATACTTCGGAACAAATCATTATTTAGTGATTGAACGTACAGTGATGGAACATGCTGATCGTTTCAAATACTTTGGCTTTGCATCTACCCAAACAGTTGGCTGCCGACAAAATCTCAGTGCGCATGCAAAATGCTTGTTTGGTATCTATCAACCTACAGTGCTGGGAAGATGAACGACTAATTGATTGGCACAATCAACCCAGGACCTCGCAAATAAGTGCAGTTGCTCAAGTTGCTCCACTTCACAGTAATATACAAAGGAAAGGAGTGAGATCAAATAAAGTTGTGTGAGGGAATGAACAATCTGAAGATAACAGTCAGTGCAAGTACTCAAGCTTTAGACGTCAAAGAGTGAATGTATCTGCGTCACTGCAGTCGACTTTCAGCCATATCACCAAGAGTCCTGTCGTCTCAGCGATATCAACTAGGTAGTTTACAAACCCCCGGGCGACTCGGACCAACATTTAGGGACTTCATCGACTGGTGCCATATCTTGTTCTTGCCACCTTGGACCCTCTTCCAACTTAATTCAACTTCCTGAAGCATGCTACGCCAAGTTAGGCGGTGGCTGGGCATGCGCAGTACATATCCAAGTCACCTCAGTCGACTAAGGTTCATAACCTAACCAGTCGATTTGTCTGTTACCCTTCTCCTGATCTTAGCATTGCTCACACGGTGATTCCGCTAAACGCTAGCAATGCTACAGAAACACCTATGATTAAGACCCTGCAACCACTTCATGTCTTCTACTTCTAACGGTCATGTCTCCCACTTATACGACAGGATAGGACGCACTGCACCGCAGTATACATATCCCTTGATTGACAGTCGCATATCTCGCTAGACGGCGCCACAGGTGATGCAAGTTGGCATGCACCACACTGATCTATTGTATGCAAGCTGAAGTTTCAGCGACCGCCGGGCTGACGCAACTCCCCAAGTGTGGCGAAGGGTCGATACATTCAATCACTTCACTCCTTATCATTAAACTGGGAGTGGTCGCAGACTAGTCGTGAAACGTCATCTTACATTGACCAGGTGCGAGGCACATGACAAACTCAGTTTAGCAGCGTCTGCACCTAGTAGGACAGTGTCGTCTATGTACTCCAAGTCAACCAGACGCCCTCCAGGGAGACCAATCCTTGTAAAGTCAGAAGTATATATGGTTATGACCATTAGTATGTCCATGATAAATTGAAATCGGAACGGCGGCAACGGACATCCCTGGTAAACACTACTTACTGTCGTTAATTCACATGGCAACTCTCCATAAGCCCTTACACGGCTGCTTAAGTTCTATTAGAGAGATCTGACTAGCCTTATATACTTGCTTGGTACTCCCTTCATAATCAGATACTGCCACAACACCTCACGGTTGACTGGGTCAATTTCCGCCTTCAAATCGAGAAATGTAGCAAGCGTCGTCCACTGGTCGATTGATATACCTGCACTTCAGAACCTAGCGTAGGGCAAAAATAGCGTTAATACACCTACTATCAGGTTTGGAACTTGCCTGGTTTGATGTTATCGGAATCCAGTTAGGCTCCGGGTAACCGGTGCGTGGGATCTTGTTTACGATATCAGTCAAACTAATTCCCTTATGGTTGTCACAGTACCTCTCCCTTATAGACTGGGTTGATCAGTGTGCACCAATCTGACGGCACTACCTTTGATTTCCATACACTACCTAGTACGTCCGTCACTTTAAGGGACAATTTTTTACCTCCATCCTTAAAAAATTCAGGTGGCAAACCGTCAGGTCCTGCTGCTTTGCATCGTTTCAGGTTCGATACAGCTTTCTCAACTTTAAGGAGAGTTGCAGAACAGAGATCTGCTTGCCATTCAGGTTCAGGCTGGATGTTAGGCAACTGAAGTCTTACTAAGGGCTAGTTGAACTGGGCTTCAAAGTGTTTTATCCAACCTTCTAGCCATTTGTCCCTGGAGGTCATCAACGTCCCACCCATTTCAGTGGTGATTTCAATGACCATAGTTTCCTTCTTACCAGCATCCTTAATAAACCTAAATAGTTGCTGAGTGTTACCCACTCCTAATGTCTTCTTTATCTCTCTCTTTCTCCACCCACCACTGCCCGTGGTCGACGCGAAGTCTCTTAGTCGATTTATGCATGAGCTACTTTCTCTCTTCATCGTGGGCAGAGCCAGCTAGAATCAGTTTTCTCGCATCAATCAGTTCGGATGACGTTTTGGAAATCCAGTGACGTTTGCTAACCTTCGGGTGTAGGCTACCAACTGTCTTTACCACTATTTCTAAAGCAGACTTAGTATCACGCAAGGTTTTCTCAGGATGAACATTGCTGTAACGTTCAGATAAATGCTTAGCTGACTCCTTCCTAAATGCATGCTTGGCGTTCTCATCTTCCCGTCGACCATGGACTTTCCTATCACCTGTTTCCTGTGACGAGTATAGCGCAGAAATACACAAGCCCGTACTAACCCGCTATCGGAGTTTAAACAGATACTCCAGTTAGAGTGGCTACTACATTATCACAAGGTAAATGTTTTGCCTAGAATTTCGCTCTTTCTTGGTTAGCAGTTGAGAAGCAGTCTTTAAAAGTGAATATAAAGAGTAGGGTTTCAATCATTTAAAGATTTGCATAACATTTATTGGAAATAGTCTCAACGATAAATCCTCATTGGGTTTCACAGTTATATAAGGGGGTTGTTCGGCGTAAAAACAGGCCAGTGAGGTGAGAACAATACAACCAAGCACAGCATTAAGAGGTAGATCAGTTTGTTCGGAGAAATGTGTGAGAAAGGAACTGCTGCGTATCTGTGACATCTCAGTAAAAATGGATATCCCTGAAAGTCATAGAAAATATCGCTTAAATTAATCCCTAAAATGAATTGTTGACGTTGGAGATAAAGCCTTTGTTTCTTTTAATATGATTCAAGGGAAACTCCAGGTTATGTCGAAACGCCTAAATTGAGCAGTAAACAGGACGTTTTGAGCAGATCGCCTTTGCATTGTTTATTCGTTAACCAATGCGCAATCCGAGATTAAGGGATAGCCTAGTTAATCTTAGCTTGTCATCTTGAATGTACCAATCTAACTGAGAAAGTAAGTTCCATAGGGCGTGGGATTAGGCACATGTGTCTTCTATCTTCCGTATTTGTCATCTCTTTCATTCTTTGGTCGTCTCAATTTTTCACCTGTTTATAAGTAATCCTAATATTGACAAATTTAAAAAGAAAAAACTTTTTTCTGACAGTCTTTAACTCAAGTTTTATTTCGAAAATATATTTGCCTCCAAAAGCCCGTCTTAACGTTGAACAGTCCCATCTTATAATTGTAGAACCTGATGCGAATTAATTGGAAAGAATATTCTTCGCTCAGATTGTTTTCAATGAATATTTCGAAGTTACAGGGTTTTGACCACCTATGTACTTTTATGCATTGTTTGCCTGTGATTGAGTTATACATGAGCGACGTCCAGGTTAGAAGTAGTGTAATAGGCTAGGAACGGAAGTTATTTGATAAGTTCGTAAACCTTTACCGACTGCGCGTACGGAGTCACTGCCTACCTAAATGAATGATGTTAACCGACGAAGGATTGGTATAAAGGATAGCTGAGTTCCCACATTATAATGTGCCACATCCAGAAATGTAGGGATATATACTTTACTTCACTGGGGTCGCCAAGACTATGGAAATCAATGGTCGGAGATTTAGTGATGCGACTGGAAGTCAATCGCAGTTGCACATATGTGTACGCTGTTTTCTTCGAAATTTTAAACATCATCAACATACATTCATTTTTTCTTTCCTCTATAGAGTTTCGTCTACTTTAACGTCATTTCTTTCAATCTACTCCGTCCTTGCATGTTTCTGTGAAGTATGTCAACTTGAAATAATGCACTTTTGTGCTAAGCTCTATATTGATTTGTGTTTTTCATGTTTATGAAGTTGCTTTCTGCCTATTGTCCGCTGCACCAACAAGATATGATATATGGAAACAGTACAACTTTTGCGTAGATCTACGTTATTTCCTGTTAGCAGTCTATTCCTGAAATCAGCACAAAGTTTGAGAATGCTTTCATGGTTTAAGAATGGGAAAGTGAAATAATCCCGTGTAATCACTTTTTATAAACCTATTTTTTTAGTGTTCCAAAGTATCTGCGAAAGTGTCAGTGTCATGGAACTTCTCACACGAAATGTCGAACCTATACTTTTCTCACCTACTGTGTTTGATGCTCATATCTATTTTCCCCTAGAAATATTGAAATGTCACTTTTGTCGTTTATGCTTTGTTTATCATCTTTACCTATTATGATGCCTTGAAAGTAAACATCCCTACTTTAGTGGTATCAGTACTGTCAGGTCATTTAATTTCCCGAATATAATCCCAACATGGTCATCTATTACAAAAGATAGTCGTCCGAATATCTACCAATAAACCTTAAAGTTTCGAAGGTAGCATTTTCGCCCATCACAACGGTGATCATGTGCTGAGCAGTGAGGTGAATATGAAAAAAAGAGGAATATAATAAGTCGAATTGAGAAACTGAAAAGTGATAAATGACCAGTTATAGAACAATAAGATGTTTAAGATCTATAGTGAGACATTTTCAATATATATATATATCAGTAGCTTCTTCCGAACTAATGGATGCACGTGAACGCATCCCTGCAGGCTCTGAGTACAATGAAGAGAAAGCGCAACTAAAAAGTAGACTGAGAACAAGTCTACGCAACGACCTCGAACAGTGGTGGGCGGTGAAGGCTAAAGAGATGGAAAAGGCGGCGGCGATTGGTAACAATAGACAGTTATTTAGACTTATTAAAGAAACTGAAGGGAAAAAGTCAACAACAGTTAGGGAGGCTATAGAGGAGAAGGACGGGTCTGCGATTCACTCGCAGGGGAGACGACTAGAATGATGTAGAGAACACTTCGAGGAACAGTCTAGCTGGCCTCCAGCCACCAATGCGTTGTCTGCCATCCAGTCGGATCCTGAATGGAACATTGAGATAGGCCCCCAAACACTAGGAGAAGTCGAGAAAGCTGTAGGTAACCTGAAACGAGGAAGGGCGGCAGGACCAGGCGGACTACCTGCTGAGGTATACAAGGATGGTGGTAGAGTGCTCTTAGTCAGGTTAACTGAAGTGTTAACCAGTATATGGGAATTTTCGTTAGACCTAGAATATGCAGATGACATAGTCCTGTTAGGTGAAGACGCTGACAGGATGCAGAGTCTTCTAATCACTGAGTGGCAATTGCAAAATGTTTGGGATGCGGTTCTCACCACCCAAATGCAAATTTTTGCTCCAGGACTGGTCTTCAGCGGTGCTGCGGCTAACAATAGAGAGTGAAGTGGTTGAGTGTGTTGACCACTTCACTTACCTGGGAAGTAGGATCAAGCCTGGTGGTTTAGTTGCTGATGAAATTTCTGCACGGATGCAAAAGGCTCGACTGGCTTTTGCCAATTTACGCCACCTATGGCGCCGCCGTGATATCCGATTTTCTATAAAGGGTTGTATGTATTGCACAGCAGTCTGGTCTGTTCTACTGTATGGCTGTGAAACATGGCCATTGAAGGTGGAAGACATTAGAAGGCTTCAAGTGTTTGACCACCGTTTCCTTCGTAGTATAAGCCACATTCCGTGGTGTCACCACATGAGTAACGTAGACGTCAGGTATAGAGTTTTAGGGAGTAGAGGTAAATCAGTTGACGAGGTTATGAATCTTCATCGATTGAGATGGTTTGGACACGTATTACGTATGCCTAGTTGCCGATTGCCTCGTCACATAATGTTGACCGAAGTATTCCTAGGCTGGAAAAAGGCCCAAGGTGGCCAGACTAAAACATGGCATCAATGTATGAAGTGTTTGACTATTGGTTTGATTCATGTGGGGTGATGCAGACTAGTCGGTTGGGGTCGGCTGGGTAGGAGGAACCAGTGGTTGGAGACTCTAGGTGATATGGCCCAGAACTGATGTCAGTGGCGCAGGTGTATACACACATTATCCTCATCTTAACGAGGGAATGCCGAATCTCACCATTTTCTCATTCTTCGTTTCTCTCTTTTCGTGCTTTATATTTCTTCTGATTGAATTTTCTTATCTACGTCTTGCAGTTCATTGCCTTTTTACTTGATGTACTGATATAAGGTGTGGCAACTCGGGGGGTTACGCAGTAATGCTTGGTTCTATGTTGATATTGATGATGATATTTGCTACCCTGGTTGCTGTACCGCCTATCACCTTTGTGTCATGGGTTTAAGACTTCACATAAATAAATTTGGGTAACCAGATACAATAAGTGTTCCTCCTAGCCTGCTACATGAAGCTGTTCACGGTCATTTACTATCAACATGAGACCTGTTATTACTGTATGATGGTCCAAGCCATCACACGTGTCAGCGCATCAAGCGAGAGTGCACTAAGATGAAATATAGATAAATAGGGAAGAACGAAATCAAAAGTGATAGGTCATGAAGAAAGAACAAAGACGAATGAGAAAATACTGAATTCACTATGACAAGGATAATATATGCATACATTTGTGTTATTGCGATGGATTCCGAGCCGTATCACCTAGGGCCTCCAACCACTGGTTTGTGTTGTCACGCGGACTCCAACCGGGAGGTCCAAACCGCCTGATCCGACGAAGGTTCTTAGCCTCATCAAGTGGGTTTTTTCGCCAAAACATCTTAATAACTGACGCAAACTTCATTGTACACAACAGATTTCATCTTGCAAATATTTTTGATATGCCCTAACAATCTGTCATTCAGTCCTGTTGAATGCACAATTTCAAAAACTTTTAATGCTTCACTTAATTTTCTTCCAGATTACTCAACTGGCTACTGCACCTGATCATCAAAGATTAAAGTTACTCAGGGAAGTTGCGGGAACCAGAGTTTATGATGAACGAAAAGAGGAGAGCAAAAAAATATTCAAGGAGTCAGGTACGAATAGCTTCTTCGGCTTAAATGATTTCATTAATTTAAAGATTCAAGTTTGTGAATACCTTAAATTGTTTAGTTGTTATTCAGTGGGAAGGTTTGCGGGAAATTGACTGCTTTCAAAGTATTCATCGCCGGTCGAAATCAACTAGGAAAACGTTAAAAATGAAGTTGCATTTAAATGCAGTACATTTAATGGACTGATTGTTTGCTGATTGACTACCTTTTAATCACATTCATCCAAGAAAGGGTAATCCATAAATCTCCAACCCAAAAACTGCCAAAGGACAGCCAAAAGACTATTAGATAGGGAATATTGTTATTTGCCGAATAATGCTTATTTTACTGGTTGGTAAATAGCATTAATCAAATATTTATCAATAGTTTATGCGTTGTTGAGATTTCAAGTTTTTTACATCTCGTTTTTCGGTACACTGCTTTACGCTACACCTTTCTGAAAGCTATACAGTTAACGGGGTTTTCAACCACTCATTTTATTTATAACAGGATAATGTTTGAAACAATGCATTCACACTGACTGTCTTTTATGAGTGTGCACAACAAGTAGTTCTTTGGGTTTTTATTGTGTCTAAGTTATCTCCCTTAGCAACATTTGCTGTCAGTAAACCATAAAATCTTTTTTAAATAGAAGCTAAACGAGAACAAATATCTGAGCTCTTAAACAGCATTGAAGATCGGTTGCGTACTCTTGAGAATGAAACAAAGGAATTAAAGGAATATCAACATTGGGATAGAGACAGGCGTGCTTTGGAATTTACTATATATGATAGAGAGTTAAAAGAAACTCGGAAGAAACTAGAAGAAATTCAGACTCGTCGAGAGCAAAGTAGTGAAAGTACAGCTGAAATCCGACGTGCTGCTAAAGACTGTACAGACGCAATAGAGGTACGTTATCGCTTATGTTCAATTTCCTTCATAGATTTTAACCTGCTATATTTCCTTTTCATTCCTCTAGACAAATATATACTAGTCAACTTACAGTACTAAATGGACCCATATACTTGTTGATAAGTAACCTATACATCTATAATTCCGCTCGATTTACTTCCGTTTAGACAACTGGGTAGTCCTCACTCGAAAAATGTGGTTCATAGTATGGTAAATAAATGTCTGTCGGGCTGAGTTGCTTTACATGTTTTGGTTATATTAACTGACACACGTGCCAAAATTATGTTTGTAAAACCCCAGTGAAATAGAAAAACAAATTTCTAACATTTCGTGACTTCATGGAAGCTTCTTCAACGAATAAAACTTGTACAATTTGTCGTACGTCTAAGTTGTAGATGAAAACAAGTCAAATCACGTTGTTCATAAATGCACATGAGTCTGGTAACAATATGAGAGTAAACGTTATCATCATCAGTCATTCTTTTGAGCTTAAGGTGAAGATGTAAATGTGTGCACATACCAACCAATGCATGTTAAAGATCATAAGGAAATCAGATTAACAAATATTAGACGCTATTTTTTCATGATTTAAATTCTTCTTGTACATTTCTGACATGAATTATCAACTACTTCACTGAGAGATATATTGAAATGGCTATATAAATAAGTAAGGTTGTGGATCTTCACTGTAGTGATTGGGGCGTGTTGTGTATTTCCACTTATAACTACTGTGGAAGTACAATATTAGTTGGAATAAGCATAAAGTTGACTACATCAGAATATGTTACCGTACCTTAAAACCACTGACTATTAAACCGAGGTGTTTAGAGGGAGGCTCAGACCAATTGACTAGAGTTACAAATTGGTGACTAGTAAACACTTAAAGTCTAACAGTGTTAATAAAAGCCAAATTCACCTCAGAAATCAAGCTTAAAGACGCTAGAGTTTATAGATGTATTGGTAAAAAAAAAAGACTGCCAATATAGGCTTACTGACACAAGTCTACATTAAAACAACCCATATTCTTCATGACAGCAACTGCAACTATGATAACCAAAAGAAATGCCGTGTAACGACCTTTTTCAAAATTCTCGAAAATAAAACAATCTCCTGCAATTCAAAATTCAATCCTTATCAATGTATGAATTGCTCTGTCATACACGAAAAACTCAGAATTGGCCAATGACCTATTATATGCACGGGAATAAGTGTATTTCCAAAATTGAAAGTTGTCCAAACCACTGCACAAAGTGGTGGTTCATGTATCTACGGCAGAAAAATCTAATATAAACTGAAAAACCAGCTAAAGAAACTGCAACAATCAAAATTTTGGTCAGCTCAACCTCTTTATTGTACAACACATGATTATGAGATGGCACTAAGGTATCTTAAGTTCGTTTATTTGATTACTTGTCTACAAGATTGCTATAGCTCTGACTGGGAAGGATTTAAAATCTCAGGTCATGCTGCTTCAGAAAGATCAAGCGATCAGCAGGTGTATAAACTTTACAAACTTATCAAGAATAAGCTAAACAAGTAACCTTTTAACTCCGATGACTGTTCTAAGGAAACATAAAACTTTATTCGGCATTTTTACTATTTAAGCTGACTGAGCACTTTGAATATTCACCTTATTTTCAAAGCGAGAATTTCCCGATTCATTGCTGAAATTGTACTAGCATGGATCTACATTTCGTATTTGCATATTTCTCATAAGTTTTGATATTGTAGTTATGTACTGCTAATACCAGTATCATTGAATGATGGTTTTATTCTAAAAAAATGTTTAATCAGCCACGTTAGGCTGCCGTTGCCAAAATTATTTTGATGTTATTTATTCTCCATGAAGGTTTTGTTCATTGTAAGATGGATCAAATCAGTTGTAAATAAATTTAAAGCAAGTATTTACACACAAAATGGATTTTAAATTTTGCTGGTATTTTAGGCAAAACTAAAAAGCTTATCATTGTAGAGAAACATTCATTTCAATTTTATTCATATCGAATTTGTTGATTTCAGTTTTTTAAGTTTATCCATGCTTTTAAATTTAAACTATCATTATTTCTTCCTTGCTAGAAACTGGAAAGAGAATTGAGGGATAATCGGTTGAAGGAAGCCCAAATGCAAGATGAAGTAGAGCAAGTTCAAGCATCTGTAAGTGACGTTCTTCAGCGTCGTGAACAGCTTCAACTTACCATAGCTGACTACTCAGCAACTCTTCGAGGTGGTAAGTCAGCTCGTGAAAGGGCTTCTGAAGAACTGAATCGTGTAAGAGAACAAATCAGCCTAGTTGAACGCCGACTGGCTGAATTAAGACCCCAATATAAAAAAGCTAAACAATATGAAGATGAATTGGCCAATGCACTTAGTGATGCTGAGCATCGTAGGTGAGTATTATGTAAATTGTTTCTTACGGTTCTTAAAAAGGTGACCAGTGGAATTAGTTGGGAAAAGTTGAACCCCGTGTCATCTGTAAGATTTGAAATGATACTCCAGGACTGGTATTTATAAAGACTTGGTTTAAAGACAGGAAGCAAAGCGGCTGCATTCATAGAATCACTTCACACGGGTGAGCTAGTTATCAATTCAGTATCACTGTGACTGAAAGAAGCCTGGTTTGATGGTTTCTTCCCCCATGCCATTTATAACAGTAAGGTATTAACCTATCTGTCAACACATTCATCCTACCTTGTCTACCTAGGTAAAACATGAGCACACTGCAGGCATCTTTCGAACATAACCTGAATGTCTTAAAGCTTAGTGACCCATGTCGAAGTTAAGAAGCCTAGTTAATCCACAAGGTTGTAAACCTATCAATGTTTCAGGCATCTGATATTAAAAATCCTGTTTCACAGATTGAAATTCTGTTTAGTATAAATGTATGATTAAAATTCCAACTATTAGCGTGATCACCAGCAGTAAATTTGTTCGAAGTATAACTAAAACCTAAAAATCTATTCATCGCGTGTAAAAACCCATTTCAAGACTTCGAAGATGAAAAAGGATTTATACATCTGCGCCATTGTGACTGTTTTCCATGTCACCAAAAATCGCCAACTATTGATTTTTATCTTCTCAAGGACCCCAGTCAGATAACCCACATGAGTTAAAGTAAAAGTTAGAGACTTCATGGACTGGAGTCTTGGTCTGGTCACCCTTAGCCCTCTTCATACCCGATTCTACTTCAGCTATCATCTTACTTCGAGGTATATGTTGACTCTGGATGCACAACATATGTCCAAGTCACCGCAACCGGCAAAAATTCGCCACTTGATCGATTAACTTGCTTTTCTTACCTAATACCGTACACCTAACCTCACCATTGCTCGTATAGTGATTTTTGTCATAGGCGAAGACGATCAAATTCCTGTGATGTCTTCATATTATCTCTCTACTACAACCAAGTCTCAACCATATGGTAGGGCAGAGCGGACCGCATTGCAATATGCCCACTTTTCAATAGGTAGTGGGATATGACCCCAGTGACAGTGATGTAATTTGGCAGGCATCAAAGTAGCCTTTTGTATCCAGTCTTTGATTTTGTATGTGTAGTTTATTAAGTGAATTAACTCGAACACCCATGAATGCGTTAAAACCTATGATGAGTTATCAGGTGAGTTGCAGACATTGAGTGGTGTCCGTCAAGGATATCCACTTTCTGTATTCTTATCCAACTTTCGTAGACGTACTTATAGACGTTTCCCTTTCGTCATCTTACTTTACGGAAATTATTGGTGTCACAGGAATATTCTTGGTTGATCTAGAGTGCACAGCTGATGTAATCCTGTCAGTTGAAGACGCTGACAAAATGCAGTTTTCTGTACATCTTGACTGGCGAGTTGAGAGTGATTGGGATACGTTTCTCGCCACCCAGGTGCAAATTGTTGCTCCTGTACTGGACTTCATTGCTACAGTTCGCTATGTCCTGTTATATGGTTGTGAAACAGGGTCATTGAGTAGAGAAGACTTCAGGCGTTGGACCTCCGTTGCTTTCGCATCATAGGCCTTATGTTGTAGGGTCACCACATCAACAACGTAGAAGTTAAGTGTAGAGTAAAAAGTCAGTTGATGAAGTTGTTGACCTTCATCAGCTCAGGGGACTGGGATATGTGTTATGTGCGCGTAGTCACTGTCCGCTTCATCCCGCAATGCTAGCTGAAGTAGGTTCATTCTGATAAAAGGTTACAGGCGACCAGATTAGGAATTGGTACCAATTCATGAAACCTTTGGCTATTGGTCTGAGCCGTGTATGGGAAGTAGACTTCACGGTTAGGGTCCGCATGACAACAGAAGCCAGTGGTCGGTGGCTCTAGTTGACATGACTCAGAATCGTTCCCGGTGGCATAGATGTATACACATTATCTTCATCCTTACTGTTATACGAAATTTTGTCATTATCTCATTCCTCCTTTCCTTTTCTTCATGACTACAACTGTTAACTGCTTTCTTTTTTTATCTTTTATCCTAATGCTTTCCCACCTGATGTGCTGATATTAGGTATGCCAACTTGGAATATTACGTAGTAATACTTAGTTGTATTTATTTTATCTGTCTTGTCTGTGAAGTGGATAGTAGGGCATTGCCGTCTGCCGCGACGACAACTAGTTGTGTCCTCCGGAGATGCTCGCCGTCACCGTTCATGTTTAACTTTATCATAGGTGTATTGATAGGCATAACCTTAGGATATCTAGTTTCAAAAGGATTGGTTTACTCCCTGGAGGGCATGTAGTTGATTTAGAGTACGCAGGTGATATTATCCTACTATCTGAAGATGCTGACAAAATCCAGGGTCTTCTGAACGCATTGAGTAGAAATCCGTTCATGTTTGGAATTTGTTTCGAACCTTTCGACTGTAAGATGATGCTTCAGGACTTCTTTCCAGCTACTTACGGTTTAAAGATAAGGCATGAAGTAGTATCATGCATCGGCCAATTGACTTACTTGGTGACTTACATCAACCGAAATGAGTAGGTTGCTGACGCAGTTTCAGCTCTGATGCAAATGACATTTTTGGCATTTACCAGCCCACATGATTTCTGACCCTGGTGAGATGTCCGACTATTCGCTAAGGGTCTAATATACTGTGAGTCAGTGTGTTTTGTCTTATCATACTGCTGTGAGACACGATTGTTTAGGGTAGAAAAGGCGAAGAGAACAGGTTTTTGAACACAGGTGTCTTCACAGCATGGCTTACATACGGTGGAATCGCCGCGTGAGAAGTGTCGAGGTTCAGTAAAGGGTATTTAGGCAAGTCAGTCGATGAGGTTATGAACCTTCGCTGATTAAGGACATACTTTACGTATGTCTATCCACTGCCTACCTCGACTTAGTGTTAACTGAGATAAAATTAGGTTGGTAGAAGGCCCAGGGTGATCAGACCAAGACGCGAGGCTAGTCCATGAAATCTTTGACCGTTCTGAACTGTTTAGGGAGACGTAGACTACCTGACTGAGGTCTGCTAGATAATAGGAATCAGTGATTGGAGAGTTTTCGTGACACGACTGAGGATCGGTCACAAGGCAGAGATGTATTCACTCCTTGGTGTCTTCTGAAACTTGATTATTTCCACTAGCCCTGATATTCAAATTGTTTCTACTTTGATATTACTTTTTCTATCCACGCTGCTGCAAAGTGTGGCAAGGTTATACGTTGGGTTTTTTTTCTTGTGTCTGTTTGATGACGTGATCTAAGAAGAGGCTAATGGGTTACTATTCTATAGCTCTATCAGTTGGTCTAACCTTGGTTGTTAGTTTACTCTGGCCACTGAGCCTAGTGACAGAAATTTTTGTGAATGAAAGGCAAGCATCTATTAGCATATCACAGTATTCGGTATCTGGCTGTGTTTTGCTAATTTCACTGTAGTAGATTGGAATACAATGAAAGAATATGGTTATTTAATTATCGCTTGTCAGTTACATTTTTTGTATCATTACAAGTGTTGATTTTATTCTTTTAGGAAGGAATTATTTGCTAAACAAGGACGAGTTAATCAATTTCAATCTCGTACTCAACGTGACGAATGGATTAGAGATCAAATGAAGAGTTTGGGTAAAGCTATAAAAGATAAGGAAAATACTATTAACAAATTGACGGAGGAGATTAATCGAGATGATGAAAGACGTGAAAAATTACAACAAGACTTAGATGTGGCTGAAGAAAATATGGCATGTGTTAGGAAGGAACTAGAAACGGTAAGTTTAAAAAAACAACTTATTTGGACACTGATGAGCAATAGTCACTTACTAATTTCCTGAACTAGGTAATAACTACCCATACTGTTGTTGGTCTGGTTGTTAAGACCTCAGTAAGTAGAGCACACTTCACATCCGTGGTTCATTGATTGAAAGTCAGTTGACTAACTTAGTGAATTAACCAGATCTCTACTTAAATGTGTCACTCAGCAGGTATGTTGACTTAAAAATCATCGTGGATACTTTCTTGTTGGTACTAAAAATCAGTTGGTTTCGTTTCAGTTATTATGAAGTAACTGGAAATCAAATTTGGAATAGTTCTTCGTCAATCGGTAGTGAAAATGATACCCAGACTTACATTCAAAGCCTTCACGCAGCACGACTTAACATAATTGCGTATGCTGAAATTACCCTCTGAACTCTATTACGGCTGAAACATGAATATATAATTAGTTGAGGATACATGATAGGTAGTCCTTAATTTGTTTTAGGGAAATCACATTTTGTTACAACCCGTAGAGTTTGTCCCACAGCTTAGTATGCAAACTTGTATGGGGTTAATGAGTTGTCTTATGGTGATTTATGATTTCCACCCTCTAATTTTTTCAAATTTATTAGAAATCATTTAGGCTAATATTCAGAGAATCACTTCTCAACGTAGCTTACTGACCTTGGAGTCTCACATATCTTCATCCAATCAAATATTATTTTATAGGTTTATATGACTATTTATTACTGGGGATCAGTAAGTGATATTGTTCCGGTCCCATGTTTGGTATTTTTCGGTCAAGTTGGAAATCAGTTGCTTTTTACCAGTGGTTTGTTTCATCTTGTGCAAAAATCGATGGGTCTTAAGATTGTATTATCAAAATAACTAGACCATATACACTTTGTTAATTTTTTCCCCTTCAAATTGCATGGTAGTATCAACAAAGCAACTAGCTCACCTACGTTTGACTGATTGCATTTAAAGGGTTTCTCAATGAAGCGTAATGCGTAGAAAAAATTAGTTCAAGTTTGGGATGGGATAGCTCTGTTTGAACAAGCATTTCAAGCTGCATGATACAATAAACGTACTTCTTACTTTGATTTAATCATGGTATTTTAGGAAGTATCAGTGTATCATCCACGTATATCGTAAATGAATCTACGCTCATATGGTTTCAAACTGACATATGTGAAAACTTCTCACCTAATTTTAAGTAGCAGTTTGCTCACTTTCACTTTCTCTCAGCCTTCAACTGCATCGGTTATATGTACATGGTCTACAAAGATACCACTTATTTTATCACTCTCTTTCATAGTCAAGCTATAAATGTTTGTCACTGCTGACCGTTCAAAAAAGACTCATTTATTAATTTAGAGGTAGTTTTCATCATGGACGTGCATAAGTTTGGGATCTATTGAAAACCTGGGAGCACTAATGAGAAGCCGTGACCTGTGGGGTCTACCAGTCGGATGGGAAGCGGATGCCAGTTGAAGACCTTGAGTAATAGTCGCGCTATGTCGTGAATTGACAGATGTTAGAGACTTTGAACCACTGAACTCTGACCCAGTGGCTGAATTGTTAACGATTTCGCCGTGAGACCTGAAGGCCCCAAGTTCGATCCCTAGGTAGGTTGTGAGTGCATACTGCTGAAGAGTCCCATACTAGGACGAAACAGCTGTCCAGTGCTCTCAGGTTTTCAATGATTCCCCGACTGATGTCAGTCTGTGATGAATACTTCCTCTAAATTAAAAATCCTCATTCATTTATCAATATTTATTAGTGCTGTTTATTGATGTACTTTTATAATTCCAATTAGATCGTCAAAAGCAAGCATTTTAATAGAGATAATTTTTCACCGAATTCATTTCCATACACATATTCTGTCCTTTTTCTTGCTTGATCTCTAATTTTTTTTGTCCATGTTACTTTCTTATTCACTAGCGGATTAATATCATCTTTTTTGTTGGATACCATTTTTGTATTCCATCTGCTTTTAGGTATCTGAGGAACAGCGTAGACTACGTCGTGAAAAAGATGAAATTCAAACAGACAGACAAACTGTCTATCGTGAAGAAACTAGAATAGCTCATGAACTGAATAATTTACGCGATGAATTGGCCCGAACTGAACACAATTTAAGATCAATTACAGGCAAAGGGATTTTGAATGGCTTGGATTCCGTTCGTAAAGTAAGTGCTTTTATTTATGCTATTCTCTAAAGTAACCTGCAACTTGACAAATTCAATACCTTAACAATGGAGTCACTATTAAATGCAAGATTATTATGTTGTGAATTTCGTGAATTCGTTTTGTAGATAATCGCGGTGAATAATTTAAATAAATTTCAATAAGTGTTTAATAAACGTGCTCCAAAGTTCGCTACGACTATCTATATGTATTACTACTGTAAAAGCGTGATTCCTCTGTATAACAAATAATAAGTTGATCATTCCTTGCTGTGACACACATGTTGGACAATTTTTTTCAGAATTTCATTCCTTCCCCAATATATTAAGTTATAAACCCATCGTTTGATTCTGTCAACTACAATCAAAAGTCCTTCGTAAAAGTTTATCTTATGCTCCTCAATTGACTATTTGGAAACAATCGTTTCCTTTTTTTCATATCTCCTCATTGAAATCCGGCATCTAGAGTTGTTTAGTACCAATATATTTACCTGTAAAGTTAAAGTTCTAATTCGAGCGTTGAACAAAATGTGGTCACAAAAATCACTGTCCCTCGTGTTTTCTCACTATGAATACTTTTCAAAAGTCACGAATACCTAATTAGCTTATAGTGTATCTGAAGAATGGTTTCGTTATTACGTGAGTACTACATCCATGTACGGAAATATCTGCTTATATCGGGTGTGCAAAACAGGTGAAACAGAGGGTTGAAGACTTGGATTTTTGTGGCTCTGAATCAACTGAAGTGACGCAAATCTATTCATACCTCAACTTAGACTGCAGTATCGCATATTTTTTCCCTTATATTCTTTTAACTCTTAATAGGACTGTTGATGCTGTTGTTCTCATCTCTTCATCTCTTGTTAGTGTCTACCTGAATTTAAGTGTGAAAAGTGATAACAAATTGTTATTTGACTAATACTAGGTTTTATGTGATGTGATAAACAGTAAGGCGGCCTTACATACGTTTAAAATAATCTAATGACTTTGTTTTAGCTCTGAATCAGTTGTACATATGAAATTGTATGAGTTCTATTGACATTATTTTGGGTTTCATGTGTATATATTTTTAATATAATCCTTGATATTCTGTTGAAGAAGCTGTTTTACACAGTGAAACGTCCAGAAAACTGTTCTGGCTTGCTAAAATGCTGAAGTTATATTAAAATAGACTCTTATAGTGATTAATCCTGGTGTGTTTAAATTTTTCTGAATGTTTTGCTGTGTAAGGTGTAGCCTTTTTCAACAGAACATTCTGGTTTTTTATTCAAGATCGCTGCTACTTCCTTATGATAAGTATCTGAACAACCAATGGTAATTTTGTTGAGCCTAAAAACTAGCGTCTCTAATCGCCACAGTCTATACTATAAATGTCCCCTATTTATGATTGTTGTTTCTTAAGACAGTAAGATAAAATGTGTTAGGGTATGCAACTTTGATTCTTAAGGAGATATATGAGGTATCAGATTAGAAATATATTTGGTAGAACACAAGACTGATACGTTTCGAGTGCGTAACCATTGAGTAAAATCTTTAACTATATATAAATTATAACTTCATTGAATATTTAGGTTGTCGAAATATTTCGTGATCGATTCGGTCCGGATTGTGATATAGTTCAAGGTTATCATGGAACACTGATAGAATTGATCGACTGCCCAGAAACATTTTATACCAGTGTAGAAGTTACAGCTGGCTCACGTCTGTTTTATCATGTTGTACAAAATGATAAACTAGTTATTCGTATGATTGCAGAGATCAATAGGCACAATCTTCCTGGTGAAGTTAATTTTCTTCCAATTAATCGCTTGTGTGTACAAGAATCTTCATATCCGGAGACAAATGTAAGTTCGTATCATTCTTCTGTTTCTTTTTCTTTTTCTTGTTACTTCAGAAAGCATAAATAAGTGTACAGAAGTTTTATTTCCACATTTTCGATTGATTACTCTTATCTCATAGTGATAATAATGAGATCACAAATTTAACTGTCCAACCCATGGTAATATTAGTTATTGGATCATCATTTTGCATCAACTACCACTGTCCACGTATGTTCTTCGAAAGCATAATTAGACTATTGATTCTTCACTACGGAGCCGTGATTTATTGATCTAAACAGTTCAACTTTAAGTCAATATTTATAGATTCAAGCACTGCTCTGTTTGTTCAGCTGTGGGCAGCTGGAAGTTGTCACTACGTTGATTATTGTCGCTAACCTTCATACGACAACACATATGACTCGGTTGGTGCACAAATTTGCAATTGGTTGCTTAAATAAATTGTATTATATTACAACATTCTATTCCCGCATTGGTCTGAACGACATCCTAGTGTGTGTTCATTCATTCAGTGTAATCACAATTAAAAAGATGAATGTCGGTGGTTCCGTATGATATACTGTATCTTAATATATCTTTGTAAAAATCAGTTTTCGTAATGCACTAAAACTACTCCGCCAGATGATAAGCAGCGGCAAAGTTTTACTGCAGTATTCATAAAACTGAGTCTGCTGATTGTAAAAGTGCTATCATATGATACATTACGCATGAAATCTTTATATATATTGTAAAGTATAACGAGTATTCGTGTAGCGACACTAATAGATAATTGGGAAGCCTCCTTTTTGTTCTTAAATTTAAAATAAACATCTTGAGTTTCTCTTCTCATGATGATAGACAAGACTGTATTTACTAAGGCACTCAATTGAAATATTCCTGATGAAAATGCTATTACAAAGTCACCATATACACGATTATGCAGGGTGTCATATGCAATGATTGATGAATGCTGCAGTCAGCTGAGTTGTAGCTCATTGGTTTAGGCAATTGACTTTCAACCAGTGGATCATGGGTTCTAACACCGTTGCACCCACCAAGATTTTCACAACCAACTAATATCATTAACCCTTACACAATAAATGTCGATCACCGTCTACTGCATGAACGTATGTATACTAGGTTGCTGAAGTGCGTTTCGATTCATTTCACAGTCGATCGAAATCACTAAGTCACTTCTCCATCTGGCATTCTGAATACCCTTCAAAGTCTTCCTCACTTCAGTAGTAATATTTTCCCATACAGCAGGTGGTTTTGCAGTCATATTTTAAGCAACCGTGGTAGTTTTTCTTGATACTAGTTATGACTGACTAATGCTATGAACTAATTCTGTTTGAAATATCCTTGTTAACTGCAATTTCCCATGAATTACTAGTTTACGTAGACCATACAAATACCTCGATGAAAATTTGATTTTTTTCTGCTAGGAAAATCAGTATGTTTTACATTATCCTGTACAAGCAAATAAAGTATATCTATTACATTTCCGCCATAATTTCATTAGAAAGCTTTTTTTTTAAGTAATGTATGTAGTAAATAAATTTTCAGGATGTATCGCTTGTTGGTGGATCTAGTAAACGTTTTGTGTACCTGCTTCGATTTATATAATTTACTTTTTACTCATTAACGTCTAGGATGCAATTCCAATGATTTCCCGTCTAAATTTCGATGATAAATTTCGTGGTGTTATGCTGCATATTTTTGGTAAAACGTTGATTTGTCGTAGTATTGAAATTGCTACTCAATTAGCTCGAACGAAGAATTTCGATTGTATTACACTTGATGGTAAGTAAATTACTGAATCATTTTCATTTGTTTCTTGTTGAATATGGCTTAATTTGTTTCCTACAGATGATTGTGTACTGCACTATGTTATATATTTGTGATTCTTGTAAGTATTTATAGTTCAATACACCAGTCATCTGTTAGAATCATTCTCTGTTTCACTATGGAACTATTTACCATTTTATGATGCATCTTCCGTGAAATTGAAGAGTATATTTTTCTCCTACATATCTACAGAGGATTTTTCCAACTGGTTAGCTCTGTCCCTGATGACCTGAAAACCGACTAAGTCTAATCAGACCCTGTTTTGTATACAGCCGTTAATGCCACTTGCATCACCGGTTAAATGTCTACGCACCTAATACGAGTTCAGCATGGAGCTGAGCCGTGCACTCTGTGTTACTACACGTATGTAAAGCTTGCCTATTAAAAATTGAAAAAAAGTGCAAGAAGGATGCCTTGTGTAAGCATGGAGTTTAATTAAAGAGTATAGGTTGGTCTGGGCCAAGAATTCCAGTAAACCACAAAGTAAAATGACTGTTGATCAGAATGGTGACGTCAGCTTTACGTTTTCTAGTTCATACCATATACTGACAATAATTGGTGAGTAGATACTTACTTAAGTCGCAATAGCCCATACACACTCGCTTTTAACCTTGACATGCATCGTAGACATCTCATTGTATTATGCGTCTTTTTGATTTCCTCTTATTTTGCGATTTGAAAATAGGTCAACTTGCAGCGATCCATTGTTATGCTGTTGTAAACAGTAATTAGGCTTGTAACCATTTTGACCTTCTCCGCGATTGTATTCTGGAATTTATTATTTATTATGTTACATATTATTATATTATATCACATATACTAATTATTATTATCATATGAAGTATCCACTTAAGAAGTGTAAACATGTTCGATGAAGAGATTGGTTGAGTTTTTCTTTTTAAGTAATTTTTTATTCGTGTACACAGGTGATCAAGTATCACGTAAAGGTACACTTACCGGAGGGTATTATGACAGTCGTCTGTCACGATTAGAACTACAGAAACGAAAACAGAAAACTGAAATTGAAATCCAAGAAACAGAAAATGTTCGTGAAAATAATGCCAAGCGTAAAGAACAAGTGGATGCACAAATTAATCGTATTATAGATGATGTTCAACGGAAGGATACAGTACGCTCAAAACATGAGTAAGTGTTACTTGATTTAAAAAGGTATGAAGTTCTTTTCATAAAATATTAAATTTAATCATCGTATTGTTTTGCGACTGTAGATTGTTTGTGGGAAAAAGTATCTGTAATGATGTCGTGGTAACTGCACACTAGGCTCGGTGGTTAAACTAGATACGTTTGTTCACAATTTGATACGATTGGCCCACCATGATTGAACTATTATTATTATATTCATATTATTATTTGTCCCTTGGGTTCCTAGTGGAATATAAGACTTCAGTAGTACGTCTCCATTCCACTCTCTTCTCTGCAATCTTTTGAACCTGGCTCCACGACTGCCCACAAGCTCTCATTTCTTCCTCACATGATCTCCTCCATGTCACTCTCGGACGCCCAACTGGTCGTTTCCCCTTCGGATTCCACTCGGGTGCCTGGCGCGTGATGTCCCCGAATAGTCTTCTCAGTGCACGCCCAATCCATCTCCACTTCCTTCAATATATTTGTTGGGTGATAGGTTCTTGGTTGGTTCGTCAGCAGCCAGCCAGAGTTCCTTGTTGCTTGTTATTATTCTGGCCATCTGATCTTCAGTAACGAGCCAGCGTAGGCAGTTGTTGCTGGATGTCTGCAATTTTCGTAACGCGTCAACCATCACACAGAAGCACTGACTTCACCGACTTAGTATTGAAAATCCGGATCTTATCCTGTATGCTAAGTGGAGTGCAGTAGATCTCCACACTGATTTCAGGTTAATGAAGGCCTGTCTTGCTGTCTTTCCGATCCTGGCTTTGACGTCCTCATCCGTGCCGCCCGTAGTTGAAACAATGCTGCCTAGATAGGTGAAAGAGGTAACTTCTTTTAAATTTCTCCCGTTGATGGTGATTGGAGCTTGTTGCTGTTGGTGGCGTTGGTTGGGTGTCATCATCACCTCTGTCTTCTCTACGTTCACTTGAAGTCCCTTCTTCGCTGCCTCTCTTATCAACTTGTTAGTTGATAACTTCATACTGAAGTTAGTGCTGATGATGTCGTCCAGAAAGACGATGAAAGCCTCACGATCAAACAACCCAGCTAAGAGAACACAATACAACCAAGAAAAATAACTCAAAATGCAACGTTTGACAAGATGAAATGTTGAGTATGTTCTTTGACGTCTTGTGTTCAGTTTATATACTTATAAAAAAGGAGTAGTTAGGGCTAACTGTTGACTACATAAAGTAATTGTGTTTGGATGGGATAGGAAAGTTAAGTTTTCATTCTTCTAGGCGTCTGTTATAAAATTCCTTGATTATAAGTTTACCTTTCTTTTTACACGTACTTTCTTTATGAGTACCATCACTGCCGACTGATGTTACTTACTGCCTCGACACACTTGTGTACGAAACACTACGGCCAAAAGCTTTCATGTTTTACACCATTAAACGTTTGCAACATAAAGAAAAAAAGAGATAACAGTCTATTATATGTATATGTATATAAATATGACTACAGCTTTAGAAATTGGTATTATCGGAAAAGAAAATTTTCGCTGAATTCTCTCCTTTTCTTTATGACTCGATGGGCATGTTTCGTCGTTTACATCATCGACGAGTAATAAAAAGATGAGTGTAGACTTTTTCACAGCCTCTTAACAAAATGCAAAGTTTCAGGTGTAATGTTTCATTTATTGTTTGGATTCATGGCGTCATTGATTCTTCATTCTAGGATGACATTCGACAAACTGAAGAAGGATATTCATATGTGGAAAGAAGAATTACGTGCAAAACAAGAAACCAAACCGCAGAAGGAATACAAATTATCTTCTTTACGTCATGATTTGGATCAAATGAAATATACAATGGATTCTTACAAGGTTTGTTCTTATGTTTTTTGGATTTCAGCTCAGAACTACATTTCGATCATAACCGTACTACTATGAACCAGTATGTCTTCTACTACTACATAATGGATGAACTGTGATACAGTAAAAAAAATTCTTCGTTGACTGTTAACGCAGCATATTTTTAAGCAAACGAATCTACATAGCCCTTCCTTCTTTCAGTAAGAACAATTCTTTTTCTTTTACTGTCACATTTACACACTTTTTGAGTTGGGGAGAAACATGCATTGGGTGAATGATTTCAGTAGATTAGATTGTTTAGTGGGGATTTTCTTTACCGTACTAGGAAATATCATTCAATAAGTCTTCAAATAATCAATGATTTCCAGCAGTCACTTTGTATCGTGTTCAGCTTTATCTTCTAATTTGTGATTGTTGGTCATTTTTCTTACTGATTTTTTATAGGTTGGAAATTCACTCATATACTCTTAACCAAATTATTTTGTTATCGAGTCAACTATTTAAACTTAACAGTTTTCTGCGGAGGCGTTTCTATAACAAAGATATAGGCGACCAAAGGTACCATCTCTGACGATCACCAGTTAGCCATCTTACTGAAACTTTCTTAAAATACCGAAATATGCATAAGATTTTAGGTGTTATGAGCTTTATGAGGGATGAAGTGTTTGTTTGATACACTTTTTTATACTTAACATTCGCGAGGAATATCAATCAATGGAATCGAGTTCCCCTCTAATTTTGAGGAGTTTGCTTTGTTTTTGTTGTAGAGATGCTGAAGATGTTTGGAATCCTGTTGATTCAACCTAAATTCGGAATAAAATATGCATCATCTTCTAAAGTTTCTCCTACCTTTTTTGTAATAGTTAGCAGTATTCACTTAAATCTATCTAGTGGTTAAATTAATTTCAAAAATTAGTGCAAAATCTCGTGTAAGACAACTTTTTTTCTTTTTAATCTTAGGTTGAGTTGGGAACCGATTTATTAAGTCAGTTATCAGTTCAAGAGCAACGTGAAGTTGATCGTTTGAATGATAAAATTCAAGAATTAACTAGAGAGGCTAAAGAGGCCTATAAGTAAGTTGTTTATTAGTATTTTATACTTAAAATTGCCTTATTCGCTCATCACTTTTCACATCTGCTGCATTAGGTAGAGGTATTCTGTTAAAATGGATTTTATTTAGATTATACATAAACAAAAACACTTTATTCATGTTTGATAACTATATTTCTTTTTCTATGAGATGTTTTCTGTTCTTTCTATCATGTATTGTTTAGAAAAAGAATTGCATTAGAAACTGAGAAAAATGAGAAAGAAACTCAATTAGAACATAACCTACTCCGAAAACAAGAACAACTGGAATCTGAAGTTGCTGAGGCTTCTGAACAAGATTTACAGGAACGCTTAGCTGAGGCAGAGGAAGAATTACGTGAAGTAAGATGACTAATTCTTTTTTCACTGTCCACTGAGATTCTTGTTCTTGCTGTAAAGTGTAGTTAGTAGGAACAGAGAGACTGCTTATTGTTGGGAAGCGCTTAGTTTATGAAATCTATTGTTTAGTTCTGACTTTTTGGAAACCTTATGTGTTCCTAGTGTTAGCTTCACTTGAATATATGCTTTGAACACTGTCTTGTTTTCTCGTAACAATAAGTGGTTCCATTTTTAGCAATTAATAATTGGTATCAAATGCAAACTTACATCTGAGGTTGTGTAGCACCGTAACATAAAAAGTGACAATTCTAGGATAGCTATCGTCGAATCATTATGTCGATCAGTCAGTCACCCACATATATGCAGATAACAGCAAACAGCCATTTAGAGAATAACAGGGAAAACATATTAAATATAAGTTACTTATTAGCAGTTAAATCAGTAACATCGAAGAAGTGTCACCGTCGGCTGCGTTACTGTTTAAATCGCAGAAGGAAGGAAAAGTACCTGCAGATTGTAAGAAGAAGGGCTACCTTGTAAACTCCCAAAGAAAGGCGACCTAAGTCTTTGCAAGAACTGGCGAGGAGTCATGCTGCTGCCCACCCCAAACAAAATATTATGCCGCATCATCCTGGAGAGATTAAAAGGTGCTCTGGATTCAAAATTACGACCGAAACAGGCTGGCTGAGTGGTTTCAGGAAGAACACGTCATGTGTGGATCAAATTGCAACGCAACGCTACGCATCATAATTGAGCAGAGCATAGAATGGCAGTCAGCTCTCTACCTCAAATTCATCGACTTTGAAAAGGCTTTCGATAGCGTCAACCGAGAAGTAATTTGGCAGCTGCCGCAACACTATGGAGTACCACAAACCTTTGTCAACTTCATTCAACAGCTATCTGGTATATGATACCACATGGCAAGTGATTCACAATAGAAAGCTCAGTGATGCCTTTGAAGTGAAGACAGGAAGGAGTAAGACAAGGTTGCCGCCTACTATCACCGATGATCTTTCCTGATTGTGGTTGACTGTACTAGATCATGCAACAGACAACTGTGAAGAACAAGAAGATAGGCATACGCTGTTTGACCGCTGAAAAGATCCATAAGATTTGGATTACAATGATGATGATTTATATCTAATATCGCACAAACTCGAAGACCTACAGGCAAAACTAACAAGCCGACAGAAGAGGCAGCGAAGGAAGACGGGACTTCAAGTGAATGTAGAGAAGACAGAGGTGATGAAGATATCCAACTAACAACAATAAGCACCATCACCAGTAGAAATCTAAAGGAAGTTATCTCTTTCACCTTCCTAGGTAACATCGTTCCAACTACAGGCAGCGGCACAGATGAGGACGTCAGCGTCAGGATCGGAAAGACAGCAAGACAGGCCTTCATTAACCTGAAATCAGTGTGGAGATCTACTGCACTCCACTTAGCATACAGGATAAGATCCGGATTTTCAATACTAAGTCGGTGAAGTCAGTGCTTCTGTGTGATGGTTGACGCGTTACGAAAATTGCAGACATCCAGCAACAACTGCCTACGCTGGCTCGTTACTGAAGATCAGATGGCCAGAATAATAACAAGCAACAAGGAACTCTGGCTGGCTGCTGACGAACCAACCAAGAACCTATCACCCAACAAATATATTGAAGGAAGTGGAGATGGATTGGGCGTGCACTGAGAAGACTATTCGGGGACATCACGCGCCAGGCACCCGAGTGGAATCCGAAGGGGAAACGACCAGTTGGGCGTCCGAGGGTGACATGGAGGAGATCGTGTGAGGAAGAAATGAGAGCTTGTGGGCAGTCGTGGAGCCAGGTTCAAAAGATTGCAGAGAAGAGAGTGGAATGGAGACGTGCTACTGAAGCCCTATATCCGTCTAGGAACCCAAGGGGCAAATAATAATAAGAATAATAATTGATGTATGAATTATTGTTTTAGCCACAATATTAAGTAAAATAGGTGATAAGTAAGATTATTCATTTGTATACTGCGTTTTTTATTTTTTCACTCTCTATAGGTTGAACGTCGTATTGAAGGCGCCCAACGTACAGTAGATGAAGTTGAAGGGCGTTTATCTGCATTATTGCATGAACAACGCCAACTGGAATCAGAAGTGGAGCGTAAGAAGCAAGAAGAAAAAGAATACGCTGAACGTATACAAGATGATCAACAAAATTTAGAAAAAATGCAATCTAAGCAAAGTCAACTGCTAAAAAAGGTATATTGAAATGCTATCATTTCAATTTTCACTGAAAACTTTGTTTCATTGGCACTAGTTATTAAAATTGGTCAGTGTTTTCATCGTACAATAGTGATGTAGAAGTCATTATTGAACAACCTTTGCTTTCTGCTTCCTGTACTATATCCAATCTTTTATTGCCTCTATCTGTCTCTGTCTCCATCTGTGTGTGTGTGTGTGGGGGGGGATCGGGTGGTAAATGTATACTTTCATGATTTAATATTTTAACTAGAAATAAACAGCTGATCATACTGATCAAAACTTTTGCTCACTTATTTTAACAGTTGACCTTCATTCAGTCGATCATTTGTTAGGATGCCATTCTGGATAACAAATATATTTGTTAACCAGTTAATGTAATACAACTTGAATACCGAATTGTAAGCCATGTCTAACGTGTTTAGTGTTTGTCATACTATTCCGTTAGCCCGGGTGATGTAGACGTAGAAAGGTTTGAACCCAGAGCTTATTTGTCAAGTATCACATTTCAAGGGTGATATAAATAGCTGAGTGTTGAAGTTCTTTTGACTCCTCCATTGGTTATATCCAGACAGTATTACGTACCCTCTTACAGTGTGTATAACTGGTGGATTTAAATTACGTATTACATTTATGCATCTAAGTACGCAGTTAGTTATTTTACGTATGAATTTTTCTATGATTTATTCTTCAGTGTCCACCAATTGGGTTATCTTGACTTACTTCTCAGGATACTTACATTTCTTTTGGTCTCTTTTATTCTGCTTTCTGTAGAAAGAGGAGAATATGAAGAAAATACGCGATTTAGGATCATTGCCAGCAAATACATTTGACAAATTCCAGGATAAAAATTTAAAACAAGTATGTTTATACATTCATTTATCTTATTGATTTAGCATACATCTCAAAGTGACCCTTTACTACTGTACATTCTGCTAATGAAGTTATGATAAATGGAAAGCTTAGCTCAGTGTTAATATCTCTATTCAGTTGAAAGTATTCACCGTGGATCGATACCAACCTGACGATCACCACTGGAAACTAAGGAGTGTTGGGTAACTTTTTCATCTTAGTCTAGGACTTGCCTGAAGTACGAACCTACGAATCTCTGTGGGATCAAGCATAGGAACGTCAGTTCTCACGTCGAGCGTTGTAGATTGGGATCTATTGGTTCACATTTCAAACTTCTGCGAGTTTGTAACATGGCGTGACCTGCCTCAGTTCATATCAAATCCACATTTAAATCACCGTAGATTCCTTTTTGTTGTACTAACACTCCAACTGAGTCGAAGAAGAACAGTAACTGCTGATGTATTGAGAATGTTATAACCAGCTCAGTTTATACCGAAAACCACTTATCAGCTTGTATTTGCATTCCTTCTTCAATGTGGGTGTTATTTGCTCAACGTTTTCACAATACTTTGACAATATTCCTTGAAGATATGACCCATCTTCCTATGTTACCCGCCTTTTATCGCTGTTTCACTACAACATAGCTTATTGCTTTTTATGTTCGCTTCATTCTAGAATGAACTTATTTGTCTAGTTGATATCGAAGATGATGGTTAAGTTGACTATATCTTAATAAGATTCCTGTATCTGCTCTATAATTTCATTCACCGTGAACCACTAACACCATGTGTTCAGTTAAATAAGGAATGCCTGTATTCACCAACGTTCACCTTCCTTTTTCTTGAGGAATTTTAGTTGAAGATCTACTTGACTCAAAATTATGACTGAAGGATTCAAGAGATATTTAATTCTGTCCTACCGCTTAGAAACGCATTCTAATTATACCTTTCATGGGAGTGCTGATAAAATATAAAAATGTCTTGTCGTGAGATATTGTGAAGCCTTTGACTGAAAAACATCCTGAGTTCTTACCTCTACGTCAACCGATCCCATATTCGACAAATGCGTTAAACAGTGTCAACATATCTTTACTGAAAGCTTAAAGAAAGTATTATTGATGCCTACATCAGTTGGCATTCACTAAACGAAAAGCTGGTTGAAATCATCTACCGAGATTTCTAGTACATTCTGTCTTACCACCGCATAATATTTCACGTTCATATTATTTTTGAATTCAGAGAATCTACCAAAGTACACCTGAATTTTCGAACGTTAATAAACTTCTATTCCGCTCCCCCTTACTTGGATAAAAAGGTAAATAAAAATAGTTAGTACATCAAGGTCCCAGTTTTCACTTGCCAACTCTCCTGACTGATAGTTGGGAGGCGTCTAATTAAGATCTTGTCACTACCCGTGTTTTCATATCACCATCAATTGTCTGCATATGTCAATGGTTACCAGTCTTCCAAACCACGATTGTCTAAGATAGTCTCACCAATGAACTGTTTTATATCAGGAATAACATGATATACCTTACTAAAGTACGTTAATGTTTCATTTTTACGGATGTACAGTTAGTGTAGTGTATCATGGTCTGCTGATATCGAAAATGTTACACGCCAGTGACACGTTTCATTATTACAGGGCGTCAGTAAGTCTATAGTAAGTCAAACACACGATTTTAGTATTTTAAACATCATTGTACTCATTGTTTTAGGTAGTAACAAAATAGTGCTACGTAAATGTTTGCTTCTGCGCTCATCCAAAACAGTGTTATACAATTCTCTATAAGATTAAACTAATGATTAGATAGATGACTATTTCAGCTGAATATATTTCCATAAAGTCATTTTCATTTCAATGTCAAATACTTCGTCCTTCTTTTTTTCTTCCTCTTTTTTAGCTGTTCAAGCTCCTTGATAAAGCTAATCGTGAATTGAAACGTTATAGTCATGTGAATAAAAAGGCATTGGATCAATTTGTGTCACATTCAGAGGAGAAAGAAAAACTACTCAAACGAAAAGAAGAATTGGATATAGGCTGTCAAGCAATTAAAGATTTGATGAATGCATTAGATCACCAAAAGTATGAAGCTATTCAACTGACATTTAAACAGGTTCGTTCAAGTTTTTTTTCTTTAGTGCCTATCTAATTTCTTTAAAAATCTGTTAGTGAACAAATTATGCACAAACACTTCATGCTTAAGAAATCAAAATGCACTAAGTAACCGTGTGCATATTTGTGCAGTAGGCAATGAGCCACACCTATGGCATAAGGGCTAGCTATACTACTTGGCTGCCTAAACCTCGATTGGTGGAGCAGGGCGCGGATCAGTGACCCACCCATTCGTTGAAAGTCAAGTATCTAAAACAATGAGCCATAGTTTCACTGCTTAAGAAATAAAGTTAGCCAATCAGAGATAAAGCAGTTGTTCATTCATTATCAAGAGAAGCTTTATTTTCGGTTATGCTATTCCAGGTGCAACTATTGGGATAAAAATATGTCTAATTTCAGTGAAGAAATTGTTGTAAATTGTCTCAGGGTTAAAAAAAAGCGCCTTAGTTTAATTGTTGACTGTGAGGTTATAAAGAATTCATGAATTTCTAGTTGCTTGAGTCTCATCACAAAGGTCTGCTTCAAGTTGAGTAAAATTACATTAGCCGTTTAAATTCACGTATATTAGCTTGTGCACTTTTCTTTTCCTTAAGTATAACAAATATTGACTACATTTATGCAGTATACCATATCTGATCATTATGTAGATAAATATTTTTCAGTTTTATTTTGACTGTAATTCACCAGTGTTTTTTTAAGAAAAATATGTTTCTCTTTCCTCATATATTTCATTAAAGGTGTCCAAAAATTTCCAAGATATCTTCAAACGTCTTGTACCTGAGGGTCGTGCAGAATTAGTAATGAAAAAAGGTGCTCGTGTGAGTATTTTCACTTCGTTCGTTTGTATAACATTTATCCTCTTGTAAATACATATCTCTTCTGAAGTATTTTCTAGAGGATTTACTCCAAAATAATGATATTTGGTGATATGAATTTCAAACATCTACCAATGAAAACTTAAGCTTCGCAAAGAAGAATCAACATATGAGCTATAAATATTTGCAGTGTTTTATTTAAAATACATATGTCTGTTTGTATTACTGGGGAAATCTAACAACAGCTAGTTGATATTTTATAGCTTGTAATTTCTCATTGTTGATTGAACCGAATTGGTCGGCCAATAATGGCACATGAGTTCTTGTACAGGGACTCCTCGATATTGCTACTATTTTCAGTGTGATAATAATGATGGAGCCCATATGCCAGTGGTGGCTGCTCAGTCCGGTCCAGTCATTGACGCAAAAATCCAAGCTGTGGTATCAAAACCATACTCGTTGCACAACGAGTGACTTAGCGGGTAACGTTCTAGCGTTTGAAGCAGTCGGTCCTGAGTTGAATTCTTGGTGGGAACAACATCTCTCACTGGGAGACAGGTGTATCCAGCTGATGAGTCCCAAATAGTACGAAACGCACCCCGTCCTAGATTCCACTAATAGTCACCATCTGTCATTGATGTCAATTGGTTTACATTTTTGAAGTGTTTCAACCCAAATGTTCTCAGATAGACAAAGGAATGTTTGAACAAGTTACAACGAAAAAACTTTTGATAAATACAGTTTTGATATGTTCACTTACGGTGTGTACTGCAGCTGTTTCCCAATCGTTGCCATGTATGGACTTTCTAAAGCGTCTATTGTGAATGTGTATACATCAGGATCGAAATTTAATTGAATCGAACAAGCAGAACATATTGGATAAATGGTGTCTAAATGAAATATATTTAGATTTCATCTCCTTTTAAAATACGGCTTACACAAGGTGGCGAAACGTCAGAAATTCACTTTTCTATTTCATTGGGGTTTTAAAACCATGTTTTATCTGATGTTAAGATCAAGAAAATGGATAAAGATGGGACTGCATATAGTAGTCACTTAAGGATCTAAATAAGTAACTAAAAATTCCGTTTTTATTAGTATAATGTGACTACCCTTAATCACACATGCCTATGGCTGCTTACACTTTTGGCTCACTCAACCATGTCGATTGGTGTTCTTTTAGGTACTTGAAGAGGGAAAGAGGAGGGAGCAACCGACTCCATGACATTCCAGAATGCAGTTTATTATATGATCAAATCAATTTCCATATTTAAATTTAGCAGCCTGTCATCCTCACCGACTCATATTCCCAGTTTGAGCTTGATGACACCTTCATGTTATTACGAATACTCTCTGATTACCCCTAATGTTAACATCGGGTATAAAAGTTTTTATTGTGGAACATTATAGAAGCCGGAAGCAAACTGATAAAAATATTTGACAGTATTTTATGTTAGTTGGTTGGATTCAAGGAATGAATAATATGATAATGTCACTAAACACAGTACACGTTTATGTACTACCCTATGAGCCACACTTTTACTGTGCCTACGGATAAAACTCGGTTGCCGTGACTGTAAAGCAGGTAAAGTGAGATGTAAACCCAGGAACCATTTCTTGAAAGTTGGATGCTTAGGCTAACAGCACACCTACAAATTCACAGAACAAATATATTTTTCACCATTTAGATAAATGTTAATCGTGTGTTAAGTACAAATGTCTACCGGATACTATCTCTCCTTAAGTATAATATAACACTAAAACACATTTCACCGTTTTTGATACCATTTTAACAGTCTCAAACGATCACACAATATAAAGATTCTCACACACTGTAAGCTGTTCATAAGGCCCTACATCCTGCAGTTTTTTTCTGTTACTTCATCTGACATGTAGACATCTTTTCTTTTAGAATATACATTTATGAAAACTCATTCTATATGTTACTGCCTGATCACTATTTGTGGTACATTGATTTTTACACGAATTGGTTACCATCGGATGAAAGGTGATAAAGCTGTCACTTCTTATTTGCTCACCACTGACTGATCAGGTTTTTAATATGGTCACTGTGAACTAAATGAAGTGACACTGCTTCGTCATAAAGTCTTTGACTTCGACAGTAAGTTAGAGTTATAATTTCTCAGAGAATATAGGTTTTCTCAAGATTTCAGATTCACCTTACTGACGAATACAAACAGCATAAAACCTAGGTCTAGGGCTACCTTCCGATTTAAAACATACACATGCATCTGATGCATAGCTCTTCCTGAAAAGAATTTGAATAACAGCCTTTATCTGTTTTCCTATATGCTTTACCGTTGAATAAGCGGACATTGCAGTGTCCTTTTTTCCCGCAAGGTATTTTAACCAGACAGATATTTTGAGAGATGAAAATAGCTGGCACACACCAACCTTGTGCTCATTTGTGCAATAGGCAAACCTCGGTAGGTGGAGCGAAGTTCAAACTAGCGACCCATCGGTCGAAAGTCATCTCCCTAAGCGAATAAGCCACAGCTATACCTATGACCTTAGATACTATGTTGGTCGAACTTATTCCCCTGCGCTTACGGCATGAAGATGTCTTTCTTTTCTTTTTAGCAGGCAGCCAGTGGTGAATGACTTTGATCTAGTGTTTTGCTCTAGTTCGTCACTCCAGGTTTTTACATCAGGTTATTGTGTTAAGTCTTCATGACTATAGTTCCTGTGGTTATCATTCTTGCTTATATAATACTATTTTCTTGTTTGTCGTTGTTTACAATAAACGAAACGACTAAAATCATTGCAGCAAGAAGGTGAAGTCAGTAGTGATGACGAAGTTGTTGCTGGTGGTGCGATTCCCGATGTTGATCGATTTATTGGAGTGGGAATACGTGTCAGTTTTACTGGCAATTCAGCTGATATGCGTGATATGAATCAATTATCTGGTGGTCAAAAGTCATTGGTTGCTTTGACCTTAATTTTTGCCATTCAAAAATGTGATCCAGCACCATTTTATTTGTTTGATGAAATTGATGCTGCCTTAGATGCACAGTATCGCAAAGCTGTAGCCGATATGATTAGAGATTTGAAGTCTGAGGCTCAATTCATTACTACAACATTTCGTCCAGAATTATTAGAATCAGCTGAAAGATTCTATGGTGTGAAATTTCGTAACAAGGTATGATAAATCCATTTTTAATCTTGTAATCTAGATAATCTGATTAAGCTGAATTATCTGAACCATAGTTTTTCGTTAAGCGTCATGATTAATGTGACTGGATATATATATATATATATATATATATATATATATATATATATATATATATATATATATATATATCGGGTTATTACGACTGAAATCTAAGCATTTCTGTCTGGACTCAGGAAAAAATTCGACGGAACCAAGTTAACGCGATCCAGACAAGTTACTACGTTCTTCTGTATGGTTTTCCAAACTTCCTTGAGTCACACACAGCCAAAGATTATACTTCAACAATTTCCAAACACGAGTTGAAGTGATAAATTTGTGGCACTATTAGACAATAGCAAGTTATATGAAGATTACAGAAGTATCTCAAGAATGCCTCTGGGCAACTGTGTAGTCCAAGCATTTCTCTGGGAGAGAATACGTACTGAATACAAATGTTAAATACCTGAGAATCAACAAGAATATTCCCCCAAAAATGGGATCGAAACTCTGTCAACACGAATCAAACCAAGCAATAAACGTTTCGAGTAGACAGTCAAAAGATAAGCAGTCACTCCATAGTGCACCCTTAAGTTGAGCCAAACAAAATGTCGGAAACAGTGAAATAACTCCATTTTGTCAACAGTCCAGCGTCACACAATAGCAAAGTGAAGCATTAAGGATATGTTTCAATCAAAACAAGGATAAATGGCGAGTGTTAAATCAAAGAAGACGGGCATACGACAAAATAATATTACACCGGTTAGGGGTAAAGGATAATATCCTAAAAAGGACAAAAATATTCAAATGAATATCAATACTGTCAAATAGAGTGATTGAGAAGGATTTTCAAATCATTTATTCCGTTGCACAAGTAACTTTACTAATGGATTCGGTTTTCAGCATGGACTTTACTTTTGTGGGTGGGTATCATTATTTTCCGCTTCTAACCATTTTCGAGCCCAAACCTACTATAGCTAACATCTAGCAACTGGACAGATTGGGACTAAAAATATGTGACACCATGGCCCATCCATTTCAGTTGATGAATGTTCACAACCTCATTGATTGACTGACCTCTTCTGTCTTAAACTCCGTCTGACTTTCACATTACTGACATGGTGGCATCACAACTTATGGCCTATACTATGAAGGCAAAGGTGGTCGAACATCTGAAACTTTATCATGTCTCTTACGTTTATTAGTCACAGCCACTTAGTAGAACCTAGCAAACTACAGTGCAGTGTACTCGGTCCTTAATAGGTAGCCGGATGTCATGATGGCACTGTAAGCGGTACAAGTTGGCAAATATCAGTCGAGTCTTTTGTATTTCGTACGTCAAGGTAAGTGGTGGCTCGGCATGCCCAACACATGTCCAGTCCGCCTCATTCGGTGAAGGCTAACAACCTCATTGACTAATATACTTTGTTTGTCTAGTTCTTTTTACCTAACCTCGACGTTACTCACATGGTGATTTCAACATATGGTAGCAATAATGGGAAAACACTGGCAGTGAGAAATTTGTAAGTTGTTCATATCGTCTGCTTCCGAAGGACCATTTCCGACGGCTGTACCATAGAACAAGGTGGAGTGCTGCACAGTATGCTCGTTGTTTGATAGGGTATTTCTCCAGTACCAAAGATAGTACAAAATGACAAGTATGAAACGAACCTTTAGTATTCAGCAGTAAGTGAAGTGGTCAGCATATCCCACAAACTTACTTCTTGTCCTCATACTAAGAGTCCGTGAAGACCAGTTCTGGAATATCACCTTACATTTGACAGGTGCGTAATGCATATCGATCGTACCCAGACATCTGCTTAAGGCTTTCAAAAGGCTACATTTGTCAGCGTCTTCACTCAACAGGACTTTGTTATCTGCCTACTCCAAGTCAACTAGGTGCCTTCTGAGGAGTGATTTAATTCCTAAAACTCAGATATACGGAAGGTTATATCCATCAGAACATCCATAACAAAATTGGATAAAGGTGGTGACAGTGAACATTTTATACGGACGCTACTGGTTATCATTACTTCATACCACAGCTGTTGCTGAACCCTTAGATGGCTATGTTAGTTCGATTAACAGCCCTGACTGGTATGATTTACTCTGTTTGCAATCAGACAATACTTGTCAGTTGACAGAATCGAATTTCGCCTACAGGTCACGGGATATAGCACGTGTTGGGTGCCGGCTAGTATGCTTATTAGTTGATTGTTGCCAAATCTGTCAAATTACGATAATTTGATCGATGCACTCTTGTCTGTCTAAGACATTGCCGTTTTTCTCGAGCTCTAAAAAAGGTGTCAGATGACTACACACCCTGTAATTTCAAAGAATAATCGAATCAAAATGCTCTCAGTAACTTCATGCACATTCATGCAGTAGGCGACAAACCACATCTATTGTTTGAGGAACAATGATACCACCTGTCTACCCAAACCTCGGTAGGTGGAGCAGTATTTGAACCCGCGACCCATTGGTTGAAAGTCAACTGCATAAACTGATGATCCACAGCTCCATCTATGACCTTAGATACAATCAAACTTATTCCCTTGTGCTCACCGCATGAAAATGAAGGGTGAAGAAGTGGGATAATTAACTATCTGGACTACCTATGATTACCTATGATTTCACTACACTGCTTCATTCCATAACTTTCTCACTTCATCCTTAAAAAATTCTGGTGACAAATCGTCGGGTCCTGCTACTTTGCATTGTTTTAGGTTTGAAACACCCTCAACTTCTGGAGGGCTAGAAAATCGATATATAGGTCCTATTCAGGTTTGGGCTAAGCAACTGAGATGTGGCTGTGGACTAATTGAATTTTCCTTCAAATTATTTCATGTCCTAGTCACTTGTCTTGAGAGGTTATCAGGTACCTGTCCTTGGTGAAAAACCCCACTGACCATCATCATTTCGGTTTCGATGGTAATCCTGAATAACTGCCTCTTTCATCTTCCTCACTTTTGCTATCAGTCACTTTTCATGGTCATTAGTCAAATTACTTTCAAGTTTCTCCTACTCCCCATCGTGATCAAAGCTAGTTAAAAGAGTCTTTTTGTAATAGTTTTTTTTGGATGAGATGACAAAGATTCACTTGATTGGGTTAACTTGTGAATGTAGGCTATTGTCTTTTTCTGTTTGTATGGCAGACTGAATTTTTTGCTAGGCTTCATCCTAGTAAAGATCTATGTCATGTTCAGGTAAATGCCTGTCTACATATTTGTGTTCGTACTAACTTTTGATCACAATCTAAAAGAGCGGAAATCCTGCATGAATCCTCTCCAAAGATAGCTTATTACGATATGATTTGTGTCCAACATTGGCTTGATGTAAGTGGATGCCGTGTGAAACAGTGTCTCTCCTTATGTTCGAAGTTGATGCTGTCCAGAAACAAATTACTATTAGAAAAAAGTTGTGGGAGGTGGTCACCGTTGTTGGTTCATGTCATGAGTTACTGTGAATGCTGTCTAGTTACCTCTCTGATTGATTTAGCTTTCCTGCTTGAGCGTTGGTTTCACGCGATAGTATAACAATAACATGACATTTTGGTTTGTGTAATAAAATCGATAGGTCTTAGAAAAATTCATCCTTCAGATTGTCTGAAATACAGTCGATAGTTACATTTTCGGAGCATACAAACAGACATCGACGTTTTTTAGCTCTCACAGATCCATTTCGTTAAACAGCACACAAACGACTATCCAATAGAATCTAAAACTTTTTCTTAAAATAATTTTTTCAGGGGACAATTCTACATATTATACAGCTACTTTCATGACTTATCCTCTTTAATAAGAGTGAACTGTACGGAATAAAGCTGACTTTCTTAAGATTTCAACGTTTAGAATATAATCTTTGAAAATACAATAAACTGCATCCAAGTCAAAAATCAAATAGTTTCTAAGCTTATTGTATATAGTAACTTTGAGATAGTCTTCTGAACCCCAATAAACCCATTAAGGTTTCTTGCAGGTATGTAACACTATATCAATCATCGCGCATTGGATCTGGCTAGTAAATAGGCGTTTATTTGGTTATTGATTTTGCATTTTATTTTATTATTTGCAGTTTGTGTGATCATTAATTTTACGAACAAATTCACTTTACCTTCAGACCATAATAGTTGGGATGCATTTCTTGCCACCTAAGTGCGAATTGTTGCTCCAGAACTGGTCTTTGATGGTACCCTGACTAACAATACAGAGTGATGAAGTGGTTGTGTGTTCGGCACTTCACTTACCCGGGGAGTCGGATCAGCCCTGGTGCACTGGTCAGGGGCTTACGAAATTTCTGCATTGATACAAAAGAATCAGTTAGCTTTCCATAACTAACACCACGTGTGGCGGTGCCGTGATATCCGATTTTCTGTTAAGGATCGAGTGTAATGTGCTGCAGTCCGCCCTGTTCTACTGTATGGCTGTGAAACATGAGCATTAAAGGTAGAATACATGAGAAGGCTTCAGGTGTTTAACCACCGCTGGCTTCGTAGCATAGGCCGCGTTTCGTGGTGTCACCACGTGAGTAACACAGAAGTCAGACGTAGAGTTTTAGGCAAGAGAGGTAAGAACGTTGATGCTATTGTGAACCTTCGTCGACTGAGATGGCTGGGACATGTGTTACGTATACCTAACCACCGTCTGCCTCGTCACACAATGTTAGCTGAAGTAGGTTTAGACTGGAAAAAGGCTAGTAGAGGGCACTCAACTAAAACATGGTTTGAGCCATGTAGGGCGATGCAGACTAGCCGGTTGGGATCCGTGGGACACGAGAAACCAGTGGTTGGAGACTTTAAATGATATGGCTCAGAATCGATATCATTGGCGCAGATGCGTACACATGTTATCCTCACACTACCCACTATACTTAATCTCTTTATCATCTCATTCTTCCTTCTTCTTTTTTACTACTTCTACTTCCTTTGACCGATTTTTCTTTCCTTCTTCATCTTCCATTTTATTGTCTCGTTACTTGATGTGGTGATATGAAGTGTGGCAACTTGCACCGTTACGCAGTAATGCCTGGTCCTATGTCGATCTTGTTGTTGTTGTTTTAAATCATAAGCTACACTCAATCAATTTTTGTTTTCTTTACACCTTAGGTCAGTCATATTGAGTGTGTAACGAAGGCTGAAGCGCTTGACTTTGTGGAAGATGACCAAACACATGGATAATAATAATGAGGATGCTAACCTCTGTGTTTCATACAGATTTACTCCTTGCATCTCCTTTTCTTTACTCGAACAAACACATTAAAAAAATATTTAATGATCATCTGTCATGTGCATATGATTATTATCATCGCCTCTTGATGCACTCTTAGCTGTAAATATACATATATAATCAATTATGCATTTAGGAAAATTTTTTATATATTTTATGAGGTAGACGATTGGCAGCCAACCAGGTCTGTATTTTGCTACTCATGGTCACATACCTGCTGATTGTAATCCCCCATCCATTCACTTCCATTGTTCATATTATAGTTTTTTTGTCTCCCATCATTCTTCGGTATTTGTTTATGTTTCTGTACCGCTATTTTTATGCTACATACTACTGCGAATAAGTATACATACTGTCGACACTGCTGTATGCTGTAATCGTTTTTCATATATTTGTAATGTTCTGGAATACCTTTCCAAAGTTCTAGTTAACTTAATTTCGTAAGTAATGAACTTGTGTAGCCTTCATAAGGCTTGCTTACATTTATTCCTTTGAATAGTTACGTGTGGATTAGTTAAGAAATGAGAGTAGGTACTAAGAAATAATGGATTTAAGTATTCATTTTGGAAATTATACATTCTCTGATCGAGTAATTCGTAGGAGATCAGTGTTATTGGACTGTAAGATAAACAAATCATCGTGGAACCTTGGGGAAAAGAACATCAGCTCAAGTTGCCACATTTAACAACGGCACACAAAAAAAGAAGTGTATAGAAAAAGAGTGAAAGAATAAATGAGTAAAGTTTATTTTAAATGTTTAGAATTTCGAAGTTGATAAAAGGTCAGCATATCTGCGTTAATATGATCGATTTTGATCCATGTCACTAAGAGTTCTCAACTACTGACTCTTAACATTTCGGGGACACCAGCAAGATAATCTACCCATCTTTGTCTAAAAGTCAGTGGCTTCATGAATCTATTCTACGTTTTAGTTTGGCCACGCTTAACTTTCTTGTTAAGATGATGTTATTTCAGTTTGCAAGGTGCACTGAGGTAGGCAGTGACTTGGCTTGCGCAAAACATGTCACTTGTCTATAACATAGACATATCGGCTAGTTTGCGATAAGTGTTGTAAAGGGTTGTGTCTTATCACTAAAAGCACGAAATTCAGTGGGAGCAGCATATCTGTGTATGTAAATCTAGACTTTTGAATAGTTTTAGATAATGAGCTTAAGGTCGAATGATAACAAAAAGAAGACTATGTAAGATTTAAGACTGTCTATAACCTGTATACAGTCAAGGAAGGGATATGTGATTTGTAAAGAAACACTACCTTTTATGATCAAGGTGGTTTCATCAAGATGAAGGTAATTCTCAAACAAAGGTGAAGTGAAATAACACTGGAAGTTAGAGTATCAAGGAAATGGAATGGATGCGAAGACTGACTATCAAAATGCGAACACCTTGCTCTCTCTATCGGGTAATACACGGAAATACTGATCATAGATATCTCTTGAATTAAGACGATTTCACCTTGTTCAATATCAGTTACGATGATATGAAATGCAGGTTCTGGTTAAAATGGAAACTCAGTCTAACCAACAAAGCACAGCTATTTCAATTTAGAAGTTTGAGGATTTAATTGATTTCAATTTAGTGTTCATCCGAACTGATAGCAGTTGGAGAACCTGCGAGTACTACACAGCTGTTTTATTCTAGCATGAGACCCTCAAGGGTGCACACTCGCGATTCCGCTAAGGATCGGACCCAGAGCCCCCAGGTTTCGTAGCGTGCACGTTACCATTGAGCCACTAGGTCGGGATTTATTGGTCCACAGTTTCCTACTTCTGTCGGTTCGCGGTACGGCACGACCCCCATCCGCTGCTGTCATCGAGTACCTGTCCTCACGTCCGAATTGGTTTCCCCCAACCGTTCAGGTCTTCTCATTACAACCTCGTGAGATTTCATCTCGTAGCAAGCCACTGACGAGCACTGGACAGGATTTCAAATTGGAGGTTTTTGCGGACTTATTAATTTCAATTCGGTGTTCATCACAGACTGAGATCAGTTAGAGAACCATTGAAAGTATGGGATCGCTGTTTTGTCCTGGTATGGGACTCCTTGGCAGTGCGCAACCAACTAAGAAAACAGTGCTCATGGAGATTCCGACATATAGGTCAGTCAAGAACATACTTCAGTAAGCACTTCATATCTGCAGTCATGCTTCCTTGCTGAAGACCAGTTTTCTTGTGGTTATCCTGATACTATCAACAGGCTGAAGGACATTTTTGTACTATCCTGAAATCAAACTCGTGCCTATCATTTTCATTATGTGATACTGCGTGAGCTGAAGGGAAACCCAGCGTGTTATCACGATAGAGACAAATTATTCTTGTTTGTAAAATAATGCTGAAGGATAGATAAATACATCTAGTCTTATATATCAAATATTATACCTCGAAATATCTCAAGAATAGTCACCGGAACAGCCTGTTGGAGCAATTAACATCTTGGGAATACCATAAGTAGCTTAAGTAACCAAGATGGTTATGGAATTGGTAGTATTTGTCAAGTCTCGTAATTATATTTAGGAAACAAATCTATTGCGAATACCAGGGAAACATGTGATTATAGGTTTCAAATTGAATGTGGAGTAGGACCTTTGAATGAAGCTTTTCTTGGGAAGGAATGTAATTTTTGTCTGTATGCTACTCACTTTGTTTGATATTCAGTTGCAGGCTGAAGTTTTGGAGTTGCGATTTAGGTAGTCGACTTTCAAATAGTGGGTCACAGATTAATTTTACATTTCAACTAATGCGATCTCGGGAGCCATTATTCTTCATTTGTTAGGTGTGACTCCTAATATACAACTCACATGCAATGGCTATTGCTGTTTATATTTCCAGTCAGACTTTACTCGTAACGGCGTTGTTAATTGTCTTCAGTACATTACATCAAACTATTATTTTTATGTGATTCAACAACTGGATGCAGGTTCGTTCACTAGCCAATGATCTCCATCTCTTATGTGAGGCCCGGTGATACTAACTGACTCCTCAAATCTACTATGTATATGGAGTAGGCTCCAACTCCGTGACCCACTAGTTAAAAGTCAACTATCCGAACTTATGAAAACTCAATAGGATCACCACTTAAATGTTAGTTGTTGAAGTTACGGACTATGTGATTGGCCACAAATGTCCTTAGACACTTCAGTTTCTTTAAAAATATGAGAAGTGAAATCTAGACTGGTACTATTAACAATTGTGATGGTGAAAGGCATGTTTATATTCACTAGTATGACATAATCATTGTCGATTAAATCTACTCATAAGGAACTCGATGGTTTACATTTAGGAATTTGAGTGGTGTGTGACAAATTTGTGTTCTACCATTTCGCTTTCTTTAAATGCATGGTCTATTCGTTATTTAGCTACTGTCTTGTAATACTTTGGGTTAGAAATCACTAAAGGAACCAAAAAGTAGAAACTGAATTACCTTTCATCAGTAATATGTGATCAGTTCTGTAAACTAAGTATTCAGATGAGATGGGTAGTTGTAAAATCCATTCACTGCCAGATGCAACATGTAACTTCTGAGGACCTACAGCTTTACTCAAAAGCATACATTGCTTACAGCAGATATTTATGATCAGCATGAAATTAATAATCGAATATAGATTTTTCTCGTTATGAAAATATTTATCAGAACAAATCGACCATTTAAACAAAAGTGGGTTGAAACTAAGGCAATGGCCAAATATCCTAATTGTGTGTACACACAACATCACTTGTTATGATACAAATCCATTTTATATTGTTCATTTGTGGGAGTTAGGTTTGAAAGTGGAGGGTCATTTGTACCTTTTAATTTGTTGCTTATTATTTTACTGGACTAAATCGAATGTACGTTGTATATTCTATTATCGAGCAAATAATATCAAAAGAATTCCATACTAGGACGAAACAGCTGTCTAGTGCTTGTAAGTTCTCATTGGTTCTTTAACTGATGTCAGTTCGTGATGAATACCAACCTAAAATTAATGAAGTCTCCATAAACCTCCAAATTGAAAGTAAATATTCGTTTAATTGATATTGACTATGCTATTTATATATAGCGCGAAATAAACATTACTCACCCTTCTACAGCTGAAAGGTCAGTGTATCGATATTTTCTCAAATTTTTTATACTGCTTACCATTGAATCGGTGAACACAATATATTAGTAATTCTATGCAGTTGAGCGTTATAGTAAGTTGCTTTTACTAACTCGAATCATAGTGATAAAATGGTTGTCTAAAATAACATTTTCTTCACATTTTACTTAAAAGTTCATAATAAATTTAAACAAATCATTGTAAATAAGAAAGTTCCCGGTGTGCAGAATGAAATGAACTTTGAAAAAAATGAAGTTATTTCAGAAAAACAAAAAATTAAAAGATCGAAAATGCACAACTAATAAGATACGAATTAATAATAATCACAAGGGATATTTAGGATCAACTTGTCGAAGAGTGGAGAACATCTTTCGATCAAGGGAACCATAACACCTCAATCTAGAAATACATATCACTATTAATAAAACAAAATTTTTGTTTCGTTGTTTATAAATAAAACTCATTTTCTGATATTTTCCATGTATATGTTTTGTTCATCACAAATATAGTCACAAAAACACTTTCATTTCTTCCTATGCGGACATATACGCAAGTACAAAAGGAAAGTAATCAAAAAAGTAAATAGCCTCATAACCAAAATTTTTAAAACAAAAATCAACAGAAACAACATTGAAAATGAACATGAATTAAATAAAAATAAATCAGCATATTTGTATATTTCTCTATGAAGTATTGCTCATGAGATAAAATATAACACATCGTCTAGAGATGCATGTAAAGTTAGTCAGTCAGTGATGGAAGAGACACTGACTCATTTCTAAACATAATCTTTTTAACAATATCAGAAAATATTAAGTAATGATAACTTCGAAAAAAGCATCATATAAACACAAATTGACATATCTCTTCTTATAATTGCAATCATAAGGAAGTCAATGGAATAAATATCTTCCCTTTAAGTAGTTTATTCAGTAGTACATATAGCTGTAAGAAAAACTCAGAATTCATGTTTATAGTTGCAGATTTGATATATACACACATAAACATTATATATATATATATATATAATTCAAAATAAAATAAATGATGAATAAATTGTTTTCTGTTGTTTTAACTCGTAGTTCCCATCATTTTTGTATCATTCAGAATAAATAATTCACGACGAACTCTATCCAACTGAATTAATGAATACATTTGTTTACGTCTCAGTTTTTCAGTTAATTTTTGACTTCTAGACAAAATAATCTCCGGTATATAGACGTGTTGTAATAATTCATATAAACCATAATCATGTATTATTGGTGTGTTGAACTCTGAATTAACAGATTGTGAAAGTGTATCAATAACAGAATTGGTAGTGAAGGTATTGATAGGATTATTGTATTCTGTGTAGAATAACACTGAGTTCATTATACTTGGTTGAGTATAATGTTTAAATAGTTGTTGTAATCTTTCATATATAGCTTTATTATTGAGATAGTCTAGGAGGATAGGCTGATCATTTATCTCTAAGATGTAATTAGAATCAGATGTTGTTGACATTGTTTTGCCTGCGGTATTATTACCTTTTTCAATATGACTAACACTGCCTCCCCTAATGCTACCGCTACGACTGGCACTGACAACTCGACTCCCGTACAGCAATTCTTCCAAAGTAACCGTCTGTAAGTTTATTTGTCTGTCATTTACACTGGGATTTAATAAACGATTGGTAAGTTGAGGTGTAATTTTCTCGAATAATGCTGATTCATTTGAATTATCTTCAGTATTTTGGAGCTGACTCAACTGCAGTGAAAGCTTCGATTTCTAAAAGCACAAAAAAACCCGAGTGAGGATACAATGTAAGTAGTTTTTGCTGTAATTATTCACACTACTTATAAGTAGGTTAGATAAAACAGTTGTTCTATGTCGAATTTTAGATGGTGGTTGAACCTCAGGGTCATTTGAAACACTACCTCGGATAAAGATAAATGAAACTGGTGATTTTAAGATAAAAATAGATTCCTACGCTTGTCTTCTACTGTTATTCATCATCAAAATGCAAGCCAACAGGCCACACTACTGTTTGTTTCGAAGGCAGTAAATCCAAACTATCTTTATTGATATGTGCAACTCCTAGGTATACAGAAACCAGAGTTTAATTATCTAAATTCTATTATATTCATGCTCATTAGTCATAAATTTTCATCACTTGAATAGAGAAGTAGCTAATAGTGATGGATAGTGGCTAGCAGTGGAATCCAGGATGCGGATTTCGTTAGGTGAATGTACCTGTCTCCCAATCAGTGATATTGTTTCCCACCAGGGTTCGTCATAGTTACTGGAAATAAAGGCGTAGCATAGGATAAATTAGTAAAACGACTCATCGAAAAACAGTAATCGTGGTAATCCCATCTTTAGTGTAAAATTCTTTTAACAAAATAATTTAGACTGACAACCTAACTTAATAATAGCTTATGGTAATGAGCCAGAATTTGTGTACTTTGGTTAAGAGTTTTCAAACAACTGATCGAAAAACCTATAAATCCAGACTATCCAGTTCAGGAGTCGCAGATATCAGTATTCAGATGTTCAGAACTCATGTAATATCTTACAGAATAAGATAATCTATAAGAACCAAATCAGCAGATATCGAATCTAGGCCTAAGAGCTTGTCGCACTCTATTACCACGTGTTTCAAGGTTACAAGAGACTAAGTTTTTCTCAAGATTATGGGGCAAACCTTGTATGAGTTCAGTTCCAGTGTTTTTCTTGTTAGTCATCTCCGAACGTCTAAATTGGTTCAGTTTTTATTCCATCCTTTCTACTTGCTAATATCAGAGCAGAAAAATAATCAGCTAACATTGTGATAGATGAGGTCATTGACTTAAGAACTCGACCTCCAAGCAATAGGCCCCGAGTTCGAACCCCACTCCAGCTACTTCGACTTGGACGACCAAATAGTATCCAACAGCCCTAACACAACAAGTGTGGCTTATAGTCTATTGGATAGGCTTGCACCATGTTGAGTTGCATTATCTTTATTTCTTATGGTGGTCCGATTGCCAGTAGTTTGATAATATTAGAGTACTGTTCTAAATTATGTTTTTCGCTTGCTGAATGTGAATTTGTTACGAGGTAATAATAATAATAATAATAATAATAATAATAATAATAATAATAATAATAATAATAATAATAATAATAATAGCTAATCTGATCTATGCATATCTAAATGACTTCGTATACATTTGATGCCGAACAGTTATAACAATAATAATGGTAACTGCCTTTATAACATGCTCACACTTATTGCCTGATACGATTCTCGAATTGATTTCTTTAGTAACTTCAAAGGTGTTTCTGACTGTTTCTTTTGTTCGTGACCAGTTAAATCACAGGAGGATGACAAGGCCGTCATTCTTTTATTTATGTCCGATTCTGAGTGTGAGTATCTCTTGTAATGTGGTGTTCTCAACACTGATCCTGATGACAACGGTGAGGATTGTATTGCTTGTTCACATCCCGATGATTCATGAACACCGTGATAAGTTGATCGTCTAAATACAGAATACTTGGAATACTGATATAAAGTTGACATTTTGTTGGCTAACTGACTATCTTCGGAGACTGAATCTTCATCACTGAGAGCAATATCCTCTTCACTATCCATTGCATCACTATTTTCCGTTTCATCATCCTCTTCGTCTAAATCATCATCATCAGCATCATCATAATCAACATCAGCTCCAACATAGACACGATTGTTATTATTACGTTTTAATTTGAACTTGGGTGAACAAAATTGCCTACAGTCTGGTAATAATGCAAAAAGGTAAGAAACGTGAAACATAATGAAAGGTTAGTTTTATATAAGTCAATAGATCTGAACCGTCAAACCATACGTAGCGTAAAATCAATGCATGAATATTTATGAAAAAAAATGTTTTTTCTAGTAATTTCGTTCTAAAATAATATGAATGAAGTGAGACGCAAACAAAAATGAACGAAAATCCGATTAGATCTAATTTTTTTAGAAAAAAAAAGGAGACTAATTCGCGATAACTGTTGCTAATCCATTAGTTGACTCCTGTTCAATTGCTGAGATAGTGTACTCACTCCTCAAGTGACAATAAATAAAATCACAGAAGGTAGTCGATAACAAACTAAAAAGGCGATCGCAACTTACCATCAGAGTTATTTAACGCTATTACAGCAACAGGTGATATTAATATTCATTTTCTGACGAGATTTAGTTAATTGGGAACCAAGTAACAATTGAAATTTCAGTGTAATAACTGTTTATGCAAAACTAACTGGTACTTGATTCACTTGCTATGCAGCTTAAAAAATATGCTGAAGTTAACTCAGAAATTGTATAAGTCTGTTGTTTAAGTAGGTGCTCATGTTACCATCTGGTTATCCATAGCAAAACAAACACAGTAAAATTTAAATCTATGACCTAGTGCTGAGGGTGCGTATATTGTTCAGATGATGAGTGTGGCGTATGCAAGTGGTGGCCACGAAGGTAGCGATGGTCTAATACCTGTAGACTTCACAAATCCCCTGTCATTACTGCTCACTTCTCACAGCGACATGGTTGATGTTGAGATTTGAGAACTCTAATCACTTGTTATCTTAAGAACGGGCATATTCGTATCTGAGTTGTTGTGGAAATAATTCAATTAGAATCATTTCTATATCCAATCGAGAGATAGCAGTATCAAGCATACTCTCTTGATTCAGTCTACCACTGTCTAACTTCATATCTTATCTGCGGTAGATAATTTAGTAAAAATAATCAATAATTTGCAATAAAATGTTTGTGAAAGCCAACGAATTCCAGCAAATTCGCTTGAAACAATTTATACTGGATGATACTTTTGAATTCGATCTGAGGATTGGGATCCTAAATAGCTGAATGGTAGACTGAATAAATCTTTGTGAATACGACAAAGCAAAAATACTGGTCAGGGATTGGTGATAGGCAACAACTGGTAATTATCTAGACTTCAAAAGACTGACCGCTAAGAGACAATTTTTAGCAAAACTTCCTTCGCGAAAGATGGACCTAAAAAGTTAACAGATGGAAGCATTAGATGAACTGGTTTTCGATGACCCTTCAGTTTCTCATTATCCAGGTTGGAACAGAATAAGACATCAGCGTCAATATCTGATCACATATAAGAAGTGTAGGTAGAAAAAAGCATATAAACCAATAAGCTTCGATTGTTTGCTTTAAAACGTTCCCAAGGCTGGTGTGGTGGGATACGGAAATAAGGCAAACTTCCTGAAAACTAGTTTTGATTCCTGATCCATGTTGTTTATGAAAAGAGTGAAGCTCCAATAAGCACATAAAAATAAGCCTAATCAAGGCATTATCTACATATCTGATTACAGATTTTACTGATTTGAAGAAAAAGATATGTATAGGACAAATGTATGAACAAATGCCTCAGTTTTTATCAATCCTTCACCTTAGTCAAATTACCTGAAGTGAAAGTTGCATTTGAGTTTATTAGTCGACAGCTCTTTCACTAACACCTATTCCTGAATTGAGTGCTGTACATGTTTATTTTTTATGTAGTTCATCAACACGAACCGATGCAATCGTGCAAGACCTGGTGGGATGTTGTCACCTTAGCCGACGACGATGAATGATGTTTGACTCTGGTGCAATCGCTATCCACACTCGACTTCATTAAGTAAGGCAATAATGAATGTCTGTCTTTCTAACAACTGATATGCCACCATAAGACTCTGTGATTGACTTCAAGTGAACAGATAACGTGTTCCTGTTAGATGGGGATACTGATAAGATGTAATAACTTTTGAATAACCAACAAAGTTCTGAGGATTTTCGGTATACCCGCTGCCTCTGTGAAATGTGAGACAATGGTTAAAAGTTAATTCATACCACTGAGTAGTTTAACGTTAGGATGTGAATTGGATTAATCTTTTGATTACCTTCAAAAAAATGTTGAACTGTCCCAGGCTACATGAGTTAGCAACCAACAAAACTTCGTGACAAACCCACCTGTATTACTGACGGAATATTCGATATCAGGATTGATGTGTCTGACCACGTGCTAGTCAGGAAAAACGCAACCAACTAGCTGCAAAACAAAGACCTTCTCCCTATTTATTTCCTTTATGGATTACGTGAGTCAAGCTTGTCTTTCACATCGGTCTTCCATATACTGAACAGTCCATCTGTACTGTTCATGATTCATCGGATACCAATGAAGTACCGCTGCATGGCTTGGATTGCACTCTCTAAGAAATACTATATGAAACAGTGGCGATATACATCATCACAATATTTCACAAAACACCAACACTTTAAATTTAGTCAAGTGAACCAAATTAATTGGGACGATATCTACTCAATGCAGATTGGAATATATATTCGATTTGTGTGCCAATATGGTTAACAGTCATTAAAACAACTATACAACCCCATTAGGGCTTTCATTAAAATGACAGAAAACTATTGTTTGCAAAACAAGCTAACAAGTTATATTCTTTACCTGCAATCTCTGAATCCGGTTCATCTTTTTCTTGCTTCACATTATTAAATTTTTCTGGGATTATCTGCACTTCTTCAGCACGGCTTTGTCCCGATGTTGATCTCATATGCCGACCAAAGTTAAAGGGCAACTTGGGAAGCTGTACAAAATATGATGATAAAAGTATCAATGATTATAGAATTTTACAATATATATATATATATATATATATATATATATATATATATATATATATATATATATGAATGCATAAGATGGAGTGGTTTTTGAATAAAAGACGGCTATCATCACGTGACAACATCAGCAGACGAATTGTTGAGAGCTGCCAGTGAACACTTAACAGCTTTCATGCCCCAGTCTGTAACTTCTAGTCGATCTATCCCCTGAACATTGAGTTCTTGAGGTAATGACACTAGTATCCAGAGGTTTGTCCCTTGTATTATCATGAATATTATACTAGTATTATTAACCTTTCAATGCATACGCTTACTCGCTGGCAAGCGGGATAAAACTCAACCAATATATCACTTTCTGATTAGATTTTTTAGTCATCTTTTTTAAATCAAGTTGAAAATTGCAGAAACTGGTATTCATTTGTCAATAAAACAAAATAAATGAATGACTATTGTAGAGTAAGAACAACAAGCATTATATTATAAAGTGAAGCCATTCCTTTTCATGCGCTCTGAATCCTCCGTCAGTCTTCACAACCAGAAGCCTGAGTTATGCCTATAAAATAAATGAATCTGGTCACCTATGGTTCTCTGTAAATAGTCAAGTATTAATATTAATATTGTTACATTTGTTTATGATGGAAAACATCAAAGGGAAAGTCACAGTATTATCGCAGTATTCACCAAAAGCCGATTGATTTGTCCTAGTGAAGCAAACAATGGAATATTACAATGACCTGCACAAACCTTTGATAAACCAAAGACTAAGTGTCAACCAATCAAGTTAAAAAAACGCACAAACATCCAATTGAAGAAAAATCAGATTCAACTCAGGCAAAGTGGAACGTTATCAATATTTGTGCATAACCAGTTTACTTCACTTCCCTGTAAAACGCTGACGGCCATATCTAGCATGACAGTGAAACATTTGACAGCCAAAATTCCACCTCAGAGAAAAACGCCTTCTTAATATCCAAATTCTGACCTATAAATTATCCCATTTAATGATAACCTTTTTTCCTTAAGTGTGGAACTTCCTAGCATAAGCTCACTGGATTTTAATTTGATTTGAAGAAGTTGGATAAGTTATAATTACCCGAACCTTCGCAAACCTAGCACCCTTCGTAGGTTCAAAAAAAAGCTTAATGACACTTATGAAGGATATAGAACAAACCAGGAAAGTTAGAACAAGATATATTAATACAGTATGACGCATCTTATTGTTTATTTGAATTGTATACGGTTGAATGTGCTAACAAGAGCTTATTTCTTAGTATGGTAAGGATTTCCAAAAAGAATTAACACCTATTTCATATATTCATACTCTTCAAAAAATTCATGAACTTAGATATCCCTTTATATTTGTGTTTTTTTTAAATACTTCAGAAGTAACTGTAATATCTGATGTTGAAAAATAAGCATTTCTTTTTCTTGTAAACACCTCCAGTCAATAACTCCTTGAAACACTTGGGCAGATAGTCTGACATGTCACAGAAGAAGTTCATTTATGAGTTCAATTGAAGGACTTGATAATTTCATGAAGCAAACTGTTAATTGATATGAATTAATTCCTGATCAGATAGAATAAACTATACTAGGTGAAAGTTATTAACAACTCATTATGAAAATAATTGTTTGACCAATAAAACTGACTGGAAAAATTATAGAGTTGTCTCAATGAACTATAGTCCTTAAAAACAATTTGAAGTAATCATTTAAGGTCTAACAGTTTATTTAATCTCAGCGTTGTATAAGTCTCCTAAAATTCAGTCAAATTTCCAGGTTGAAAATAGATGTAACCTCTTGGGAAGAAAAATACAAAGACATATATATGCACTCACATGAACACATATAAAATATAATTTAAGAACTCAATTGCTGTACATAACATGAGTTTAGACATTTTTTTTATATGTATGAGACGAAACTTGAAGATCCTGGGTTCAATCCCCGGCGAAGTTACGGATGCACATTATCGAAGAGTCGTATTATTAGGATGAAACAGCTGTTCAGTGCTCCCAGTTTTCCAATAGTTCGCCAACTGATACCAGTCCGCGATCAGTATCACCTTTAAAAAAGGACTATTGGTTAAAACTAACCTTAATCTGTTTCAATCTTTGTTTAATTGTATTCGTATTCATTTTCGCAAGTGATACTTGATTCTTTGCATTTTGGTCATCAATGTTAACATCTGGATTGATCATTACTACACCACCATCAGTATCCAGCACTGCATCTTGAATTGAAGTAGCTCTGGAAATACGGTATCTACTACGTAAACTAACAACAGATTCACGTCTTCGACCCATACCGCGTAAACCAGATCCAAGAGTATGCAAATTAATAGACGGTTGATATTCTTTCGGTACACTAGCTTGACGTAAACGTTCTAATTTATTTGGGGGTTTCGTTTCAGTCAACTCTAAATATCTTCCTGATTGTGAAAATAAATTGTACACATATTAAAGGGAACTAGTGAAAATTTATCGAGAAAATTCGTTCTTAAGATAATTTTAACCCTAATTACAGAGTTTAAACCTAACAAATAACAACAAAAGCTAAAACCAACACTTTTGATGACTTCTTTGATTACTTACTACGGATGGACTCATATAAACATGATCAGTGGAGCGATTTCAAACTATCGATGATTGCTGATAACCAGTACTAAAGTATGCTGGTATACTTTTATCCAAAAACTAAAGACTTTATAGAACTCTCCCTGAGATGCATAACCACCATTGAACTCTGATGTCCCTAAGTCTTGAGTATAATCTCCGTCTACTAATACCTTTAAAAGGAACAGTTTGGTTGTTCAGTACTTCACATCCACATCATCATCATCAATATCAACATAGAACCAAGCATTACTGCGTAACCCCCGAGTTGCCACACCTTATATCAGTACATCAAGTAAAAAGGCAGTGAACTGCAAGACGTAGATAAGAAAATTCAATCAGAAGAAATATAAAGCACGAAAAGAGAGAAACGAAGAATGAGAAAATGGTGAGATTCGGTATTCCCTCGTTAAGATGAGGATAATGTGTGTATACACCTGCGCCACTGACATCAGTTCTGGGCCATATCACCTAGAGTCTCCAACTACTGGTTCCTCCTATCCAGCCGAACCCAACCGACTAGTCTGCATCGCCCCACATGACTCAAACCAACAGTCAAACACTTCATACATTGATGCCATGTTTTAGTCTGGCCATCTTGGGCCTTTTTCCAGCCTAGGAATACTTCGGTCAACATTGTGTGACGAGGCAATCGGCAACTAGGCATACGTAATACGTGTCCCAACCATCTCAGTCGATGAAGATTCATAACCTCGTCAACTGATTTACCTCTACTCCCTAAAACTCTATACCTGACGTCTACGTTACTCACGTGGTGATACCACGGAATGTGGCTTATACTACGAAGGAAACGGTGGTCAAACACTTGAAGCCTTCTCAAGTTGTTGAGAAGAGTTTTCTTAATAAAACACACTGTCTCAAAACGAATTTTTCACATTAAGTATGAAATCTATAGCCTCTATACCCAAGAGAATGAAGAAAATCTCTATCATTCACATGTCCATGAGATAAGATAGTACAATCAAATTGATCTGAGTGACCAAATATAGAGCTGGCGATTGAACGCAGAAGTTTCCAGGTGTTTCCAGAGCATTGCTCGTGTGAAATTAGTAAACCTACAAAATGAGCAACATAGGCTGTATAGATCTTGGTGACTAGAAGAGGAATTCAGGACGTGAGTTTCATCCTAATTGGGACTCACCAGCTGGTTTTACCTGCACCCCATTTCACAAGAGGTGGGTATCGTGCGTCAGTGGCTTAGTGGATAACGCTCTTGGGTTTGAAGCTATGGGCACTGGGTTCGAGTCCCCACGGGGACAACATCACTCACTGAGGTGTAGGTGCATCCGGCTAGAAAGTCCCAAACGGGACAAAACGCGCGTTCTGGATTCCTCTGCTAGTCACCAAGATCAGTATAACATCATGAATATTTGTCAGTACCGAGGCATCCACATAGGAATCTATCTGCCAACAGAGGTCGAGCAATTCGGCCCTGTATAGCCACGGGAAATTACAAGTAACGTAACAACATAGAGGCTAATTGTACAGCGCTGAATAATAAAGGTCAGTCGATGAAGTTGTGAATTCTCATTGACTGAGGTGGATAGAACTTATTTAATGCATTTCGAACCACCATCTTCCATAACAAGCGATATTAACTGAAATAGAATTAGGTTAGTAAAGGCTTAACCAACGAGCGACACCAGTTGATAAAGTATTTGACTATTGTGTAGGGAAGTGCAAACCACCCGTTTGGGGTACTTGGAATGTTAGGGAATAACGGTTGCGAATTCTCGATGAAATGGATTGAAATCGACCATAAAACTGACACTTTACTTGTGATGTACGAACCCTCACTGAGTTATTCCCACCTTTCTCTTATCTTCCTGTTGATTTTAGTATTATTTTCTTCCTGTTCCCTTCATGTTTGTATTCTGTTGTAAAGTATAACAACTTGAACTGAAGCATTTCAGTTCAAGATTCTATGTTGGTCTTTCTGCCTCTTTGTTAGAGACTGTGAATCCTACAATAGCTGTTTGAAGATTAACTACAGTATTCGGTTCCTCACATAAGGTTAGGCTGTGGCATATGGAAAAGTGATTCAGATGTCTAGACTACTGATTCATAAATTCAACTGCGATTTTTAGGCTTAACTGAACCTTGAGAAGTGAGATATAACCCATGGAGGTGATGTCAACTAGTGCTATTATTAACACTAATATTCACGAATACTAACTAAATGGCTTTTACGTGACAGAAAACAGAATTTCAGAGGTTTCGCTGCTAGCCGAAACCACCAAATACTCATGAAGACATAGCGTTACGAAACAACAATGTCATCAGCAAACACCTGCAAACATTGTGAATTCAAATGAGTGCTAATGAAGTCGTCCGACGAAATGATATATCTACGATGAACTTCAGAATACATAAAGTAATCATTATACTCATTCTGACCAGCGAGTTTCCTCAGCTCACAATCGTATCAATTATTTCATGAAAAAGACTTATGTACTGTTTACTTTTCAACACAATATCGGTCTCTTTTTTGGTTGAACAGATGAATTAATTACTTAAAGTATGCAAATTTTTTCAACCATTTTCATCACGAATGGAAAGGAGCTAAAGAAGAGGTGATAAACAGAGAGCACTAGATATCTACCTTATCATGTTTCAGGAATCATCAGAAGTTTGAAATCGAACTCAGGGCCATCAATTCTAAAGAAAAGCTTTTTATCATTGAATCACTCGATTGGAAGTCAATCGCTCACGTTTTTCAACTTCTGTGGATTTGTCTTGACTTCAACATGTTAAACTAACGTATATGTGTGTGAGTTGGCGGAAGCAGATTATGCTTTCGCTTGGCCTCAATAGTTGATAGGATACAAGTTGTTAAAATCAATACTGTCATATTTACGGTGGAGAGTATTCACTGAATAATTTTCAAGAGTAATGAAAATTCATGTACTGTTCAATTAAGTGAGGCAATTGACAAGAAGGTACGGACTCGATTTTTTCCCTTACTGACACTCATCAGCTAGTCTCATCTGCAATCTTTTTCTGCAAACTGATGTTATTTAAGAGGCTAGGGGGAGTGTCATCCAGTATTCGAATAAGGTATGGTACCCATAGAGGACTAGATTATGTGTACAAATGGCCTATCAAATGATGCATACTGCCTTACAGTGAAGTCATAAAAGTTTACGAAATTGTACTGACTCAATTTACAATGTCAATAATTTTTAAATTTGAGAAAGTATAAGACAGAAAATGAAGTGCTCACTTACCAATTGAATGAAGAGATATAAGAATTGTTGAGGCTACAACTCGTAATGCTTGTAAAGACTCATCACCTGGTGGGACAGGAACTAAAACTGTATTGAAAAGTCTTGTATCTGGTTGAAGGAATTCAAGAAAATTATGTGTCACTTTGGGCATTTTAATTGCTTGTCTAAAATTGCTAATCCCTGTATTGTTGCGGCCACTACCACCACCACCTCCACCAGGACATCCACCACTACTCACATCTCTTTCATGTTCCGAAAGGTTCCGTTCTGAGTTGGAGCGATCAGTTTGAACATTCAATTTATATCGAGTTTCATTTACATCTTTGTCATTAGGGATAAAACTTGTAGTAGATACATGAGCAATACGACCAAATAAACCACTTGCTCGAAATACTTGATCATTTTGACTTGAAATCTTTCGGGTGGGGAAAATAAAGATTATACTCATAAAAACGGGGACAATATAATCGATGACAAGGGGGAGACAAGGTGAATGACAATTCTTTCGCCGAAGCTTATAAAATCTATATTGAGAAGTCTATTTTCCTCATTAGTCAGTTGGATTATCAAACTCCTATTTATCTAATTTCCTACAGTCTACTTTTTAAAACAAACGAATCACTGGATACTTCAGAATGCGCATCGAAATTCAGCAGTCGTCTTTCCAATATTTCAACTAAGCCATTCGGTTTGATATATCACTGCAATGGGGTTAATATCAAATTGTTTAAGGTAGTATAGACAAGATTCTCTAAATGCAGGTTTCTTACGTGTTTTACCACCAGAGTTCTCTCTCAAAATTAAATTCATATCATCGATCGCTACAGGCACAGACTACTAGGAATTCACCAACCTATGTCACCTGTTATTATTGTTATTATTATTAGTCCCTTGGGTTCCTAGTGGAACATAGGGCTTCAGTAGCACGCCTCCAGTGACCTCTGTTCTCTGAGATCTTTTGGACCTGGTCCCACGACAGCCCACAAGCTCTCATTTCCTCCTCGCACGACCTCCTCCATGTCACCCTCGGACGTCCAACTCGTCGCTTCCCATCTGGGTTCCACTCGAGGGCCTGGCGTGTGATGTCCTCAGTCGGCCTTCTCAGTGCATGCCCAATCCATCTCCACTTCTTCCTGCATATTTGTTGAGTGATAGGTTCTTGGTTGGTTCGTTCCCAGAGTTCCTTGTTGCTTATTTTTTCTGGCCATCTGATCTTCAGCAGCGAGCGTAAGCAGTTGTTGATGAATGTCTGTAGTTTATTGGAAATGCCTTTCGTGACGCGCCAAGTCTCTGAGCCATACAAGAGCACTGACTTGACGTTGGTGTTGAAAATCCGTATCTTGTTCCGCATGCTGAGTGCAGAAGATCTCCACACTGGTTTCAGGCTGATGAACGCCTGTCTTGCTTTTCCGATTCTGACTTTGACATCCTCGTCTGTGCCTGTGTCGCCTGTAGTTGAAACAGTGCTTCCTAGATAAGTGAAGGAGGTTACTTCCTTTAAGTTTCTCCCGTTGATGGTGACTGGAGTTTGTTGTTGTTGTTGATGGTGGTGGTGCGGTATCTTCATCACCTCTGTCTTCTCTATATTCACCTGAAGTCCCGTCTTCGCTGCCTCTTCTATCAACTTGTTAGTTTTTGCCTGCAGATCTTCAAGTTTATGTGACATTAGGCACAAGTCATCGGCGAAATCCAAGTCTTCTAGGTTCTTTTCCGCAGTCCAGCCAGCGTATCACCCTCTTCTCACAGCTCCTCACTGTTTGTTGCATGATCCAGTTCACTACAATCAGCAATACCTTGTTTCACTCCTGTCTTCACTTCAAAAGCATCACTGAGCTTCCCATTGTGAATTACTTGGCATGTAGCATCTTCATATAGTTGTTGAATGAGGCGGATAAAGGTTTGCGGTACTCCGTAGTAGTGAAGCAGTTTCCAAATTACTTCTCGGTCGACGCTGTCAAAGGCCTTCTCAAAGTCGATGAAGTTGAGGTAGAGAGCTGATTGCCATTTTATGCTCTGTTCTATGATGATGCGAAGCGTTGCAATTTGGTCTGCGCATGATTTGTACTTCCTGAAGCCTGCCTGTTCCGGTCGCAGTTTTGAATCCAGTGCATCTTTAAGCCTCTTCAGGATGATGCGGCTTAATATTTTACTTGGGGTGGACAGGAGAGTGATTCCGCGCCAGTTCTTGCAAGCACTCAGGTCTCCTTTCTTCGGCAGTTTGACAAGGTAACCCTTCTTCCAATCGTCAGGTACCTTCTCTTCCCTCCACACCTTCTGCAATAGTGGTGTGAGCATGTCCGCTGTTGTCTCTGCATCTGTTCTCAGTGCTTCTGGCGGTATTCCATCTGGTCCTGCTGCTTTCCCGCATTTCAGTAGCTTTATGGCGTTCAGGACTTCCATTTTCGTTGGGGATTTATGTTCACTTGTAATTCAGCGGCTGCAGGTGGTATTTCTGGACGAAGTGCAGGTGGTGGTCGATTCAAGAGCTTCTTGAAGTGGTCGGCCCATCGTTTCCTCTGTTTCTCTTCTTTTGTAATTAAATTTCCTTCTTCATCTTTTATTGGTTTCATCTGGGTTGGTCTCTTCCCTGATAGCAACCTGGTTATTTGATACAATGTCGTCAGGTCTCTCCTGCAGCCTTCAGCCTGTTCTGCTTCACTTGCCAGTGTTTCGTAGAAGTGTCTTTTGTCTTTGCGTGCACTCTTCTTCACTTCTTTATCCAGTGTTTTATACATTGTGCTCAGTTCCTCTTGTCGTTGAGCATCCTTGCACTGGTTTATCTTCTGCTTCACCATCCTCCTCTCCTCTATCAGCTTCCAGGTATCCGTCGAGATCCACTCCCTGTCTTCTCTTCTTCTTCCTTCCTAATACGGCTGTGCAGGTTTCTTTCCACATAGCTTTCAAAGACTTCCAGTGTTCTTCCACACAGGTTTCTTCAGGGATGTCCCTCGATGTCTCCCATTTTGTCTTGATGGCTGCCTTGAAGATCTCCTTTGTAGTTTCATCCTTCAGTTTCCGAGTGTTGTACTTGGACTGTGGTTGTCTATCACCAGCTTCCTTGAAGGCTTTTAACTTGATTTGGAAGGTTCCTTGCACTAGATAGTGGTCTGAACCTACATCTGCTCCTCTTCTTGACCTTGTGTTAAGTAGACTGCGTCTCCATTTTCTTGAGATTGAGATAAAGTCGATTTGATTTTTAGTGTGTCCATCTGGTGAAATCCATGTCGCTTTGTGGATATCTTTGTGCCTGAACACACTGCCTCACTCCAATCACCAAATCGTTGAATGCACAGAATTCTGCAAACAATTCTCCATTCTCATTCATTTCACCTAGCGCCTCTCGACCCATGGTTAGTTCTCTTCCTGTGTTGTCCCCTCCCAGTTTGGCATTCATGTCACCTCACCCATTAGAATTTTGATATCGCCAACTGACGTCTTGTCCAGTGTTGATTGAAGTTGTCTGTAGAATTCCTCCTTTTTCTCTTGCTCTGCATTATTTGTAGGTGCATAGCATTGTATGATTGTGACCTTTCTTCCTTTTGAGTTGAATCTTGCTGTCATGATCCTGGAGGAGATTGGTTCCCACTGCATGAGAGCCTTCGATGCTCTTGAGGACATCATGATAGCCACTCCGATACTCAGTGTGCTCGTGGTTGTCGTCTGGGTGACAGTAACGGAGTAGATTATTGATTCTCCAGTTGACAGTTTGGAGAGTCCACTTCCATTCCATCTGCTTTCGCAAATCCCAAGCACTTCGATGTGATACCTTCTCATCTCCTTTGCAATCTGGGCTGCCTTACTGGGTTCAAACATCGTACGGACATTCCATGTCCCCAAGTTTACTTTCGCTTTCATCGAGAGAAGACACATCGGCCAATTGGCTTCCCGAAGGCTTTCACCAACTGGCGTCATTTCGCCTCTCCGATTCCAGCGGGGAATAAGTTTGTTTTCATTTTTTATATTTTGTTTGTGCTTTGAAGTTTCTTTAGCGGTTAGATTTGTTTTACGGGGTAGGGTTGCTAGCCCTATGTCCAACCTTCCCTCTTTACCCGGGCTTAGAACCGGCTAGTAACTAGTAAACTAGTTAACCAGGCGAGGTTATGTCACCTGTAATCTTGATAAAAAGATGTACCAACCTATCAGGAGTAAAATAAGCAACAAGATAATGCACTCTTCTGTTCACTGGTCATGAGATAATAACCAACAGAGATTAACACCATACAATGGTCATGATTCTTATACTAATAGTTCTTTCTCAGTGTAACACCTACATACTGGTATGGGCGAGTGACAAAATTGGAATCGGATGTAAAGTATCTTGTAAAAGAGACGAAACAGATGGTTAAGTAGTGTAACTGTATTGATCAAAATTTCTGGGACCCTTTTCATGCATAGCTATCAAACAACTACCCCAGGATCTGTCAATAAATGCCCAAAAAGATGGTAGGGTACTTCGAGGAATATTTATCCGACATATTTTACGGTTACTTAATTATATGCGAATAAGAGCTGCTACCCTGATTTGGTTATCAGTCTCGATTATTGCTATGACCTAATGGATTGTTACTGGTCAAAACTATTCCTCCTTAAGGTTCTACATAATATGTAGACAACATCAATTGGACAGTTGTAAGAATGAAGGTAGCTACTATCTTTATGCATATTGTCTCCACTGTGTTTGTAGAAGTATTACTACTAGTTGGGTAGGGATGTGACAACAGCTATATGTTTTCCCTGAACGATTATATTTCCAACCATGTTATATTCTGATTCTAAGAAGGAAAGATTAAAAGTGCTAGACTCAAAACCTTTCGATTCAGCCTCATCCTATCACTTCCTGTGGGTGTTGATAAAGTTCTTTAACCGATATAGGCAACTTTTCAAACACCAACGATAACACAAATAACATATGTCACTCGACCTCAAGCAGATATCCCTTTGGCTGTGCAACTACTCACAAATAGTCCGTTTCCTCTTTCAGATACTCAGAGAGAAAGTAATCTTTTACGATATGGGAAACTATGAAGTACCAACTACCTTGAAAAATCTAGTAGTACTCCAGTTCTTTCCTGTCATTCCCGGTCTTCTTCGTCATTCTCCAAATTTTTCGTAGTAATTAGTGCTAGTGAGTCTATACTACTACGTTCAACTTCTTCCAGCTTTCCAGATCGTACTAATGAGAGTGTCCATATAAAGCCACCCTTGAGACTGCATATTCAAGGATTTAATATCCACACCATATTGTACAACAGGGCTGACTTGTCAAAATCCTAGCATCCTGAGTTGTAGAGTGTATGCTATGTTTCTGAGACACCTCACCAGGTTAATATGCTGACTCTGTACGACTAAGCCTCTGAATATCATTCCAGCCCTAGGGGATTTTAAAGATATCCCATTAAGAGATTGTGATTTTAT